GCCACAACGCACAGTGAGGAGGATGGTAAGAGAAGTAAAAAAAAGTCCTAAGCTCACTGTCACAGAATTGCATCAAAGAGTGGCATCTTGGGGTCACAAAGTCTCCAAAACAACCATCAGACGCTCTCTACATGCCAACAAGCTGTTTGGGAGGCATGCAAGGAAAAAGCCTTTTCTCACTAACACTCACAAACGTAAACGTCTGGAGTTTGCTAAGCGGCACTGGGACTTCAACTGGGATCGTGTGCTTTGGTCAGATGAGACTAAGATTGAGCTTTTTGGCAACAAACACTCTAAGTGGGTCTGGCGTAAAACAAAAGATGAGTATGCCGAAAAGCACCTCATGCCCACTGTGAAGTATGGTGGAGGATCTGTGATGCTGTGGGCCTGTTTCTCTTCCAAAGGCCCTGAGAACCTTGTTAGGGTGCATGGCATTATGAACACTTTGAACTACCAGGACATTTTAAATAAAAACCTGATGGCCTCTGCCAGAAAGCTGAAGATGGGTCGTCATTGGGTCTTTCAGCAGGATAATGATCCAAAACATGTGGCAAAATCTACACAAAAATGGTTCAGCAGTCACAAACTCAAGGTCCTCCCATGGCCATCTCAGTCCCCAGACCTCAACCCAATCGAAAACCTGTGGGGCGAGCTAAAGAGGAGAGTGCATAAGAGAGGACCCAGGACACTGGATGATCTAGAAAGATTGTGCAAAGAAGAATGGTCAAAGATCCCTCTCTCTGTGTTCTCCAATCTTGTGAAATGTTATAGGAGGAGATTAAGTGCTGTCTTGTTGGCAAAAGGGGGTTGTACAAAGTATTAACATCAGGGGTGCCAATAATTGTGGGACACATGATTTCAAGTTTTTTTTTTTCTAAATGTGTGATTTTTTTTTTTACACCAAAGTAATGTACTTAAATAAAAGGTTGGATTTTTCTCTTTTTTTGCATTTGGGTTCTATGTTGTTTAAAAAAAAAGGAGAATTTTTGGAAGTCCTCGACCACATCTTAAACAGGGGTGCCAATAATTGTGGAGGGCACTGTACATTCTATAGACCCTATGGAGTATTCCCTGCAATACTTTTACTGCGGCACCTAGACTAGTTTCTGCTCTATAAGCCAATATGTATTCCATATACAGTGATTCACATTGTGGCCAATGGAATGGGTGGAGTAAAAGGCCAGTAACACTCCGTATTATTCAGTGCCCCATGAAATTACACCATATATACATTCTACAGACTCTACGGAGTATTCCCTACAATACCTTTACTGCGGCACCTAGAATAGTTTTTGCTCTATAAGCCAATATGTATTCCATATACAGTGATTCGCATTGTGGCCAATGGAATGGGTGGAGTAAAAGGCCAGAAACACTCCGCATTATTCAGTGCCCCATGAAATGACACCATATATACATTGCTCTATAAGCCAATATGTATTTCATATACAGTGATTTGCATTTGGGGCATTTATTTGACCTTGGAACAAGTTTTTTTAAACCCATATTTAATGCAAATGTCACTTAAATATGAACAAGTATGAATCATTGTGAATGTTTAGATAATTATTTTTCATATAACATGAATAAATACAGATTATTTACACTTTTCTACTATTAGCAAGGGATCGAAATGTACAGAATGGTTACCTGAAGGTAAATGGGGGAGGGTCATGCTTTTTCAATTTCAGTCAAAGGAAGGGTTAAGTACACTACATGACCAGAAGTATGTGGACACCTGCTCGTTGATCATCTCATTCCAAAATCATGGGCATTAATATGGAGTTGGTCCCCCTTTTGCTGCTATAACAGCCTCCACTCTTCTGGGAAGGCTTTCCACTAGATGTTGGAACATTGCTGCGGGGACTTGCTTCCATTCAGCCAAAATAGCATTAGTGAGGTCAGGCACGGATGTTGGGCGATTAGGCCTGGCTCGCAGTCAGTGTTCCAATTCATCCCAAAGGTGTTTGATGGGGTTGAGGTCAGGGCTCTGTGCAGGCCAGTCAACTTCTTCCACACCAATCTCGACAAACCATTTCTGTATGGACCTCGCTTTGTGCATGGGGGAATTGTCATGCTGAAACAGGAAAGGGCATTCCCCAAACTGTTTCCACAAAGTTGGAAGCACAGAACCGTCTAGAATGTCATTGTATGCTGTAGCGTTAAAACAGCCCCAGACCATTATTCCTCCATCACCAAATTTTACAGTTGGCACTATGAATTCGGTCAGGTAGCATTCTCCTGGCATCCACCAAACCCAGATTCAACCATCTGACTGCCAGATGGTGAAGCGTGATTCATCACTCCAGAGAACGTGTTTCCACTGCTCCAGAGTCCAATGGCAGCGAGCTTTACACCACTCCAGCCGACACTTGGCACTGCGCATGGTGATCTTAGGCTTGTGTGCGGCTGCTCGGCCATGGAAACCCATTTCATTAAGCTCCTGACGAACAGTTATTGTGCTGATGTTGCTTCCAGAGGCAGTTTGGAACTTGGTAGTGAGTGCAGCAACCGAGGACAGATGATTTTTACAGCCTTCAGCACTTCAGCACTCGGCAATCCTGTTCTGTGAGCTTGTGTGGCCTACCACTTTGCGGCTGAGCCTTTGTTGCTCCTAGATGTTTCCACTTCACATCAACAGCACTTACAGTTGTCCTTGGCAGCTGTAGCAGGGCAGAAATGTTATGAACTGACTTGTTGGAAAGGTGCCATCCTATGACGGTGCCACGTTGAACGTCACTGAGCTCTTCAATAAGGCCATTATACTGCAAATGTTTTTCTATGGAGATTGCAATGCTGTGTGTTCGATTTTATACACTTGTCAACAACGGGTGTGGCTGAAATAGCCGAATCCACTAATTTGAAGGGGTGTCCACATACTTTTGTATATATAGTGTATTTTTAAAATCGAGTCCAGTGGATGGTCATGTAATTTATAGTTGATGAAATGTCAATTTTCTATTTGTCTTTTAATGAGTTGCTTATTAGGCTATATATCGATTTGTGCCATCTTTGATTCTCCACTGGGCATGCAATATCAAGTGCGCATATAGGCTATTTAGCGTGGTCTCAATCAAATTATCCATAGCCTATAGGCTATAGCTACGAAGTGCATGCTTGGAGAATCACAGAGCAAAGTTATATTTCTAAGCTAGCTGCTGGGATGTTGAAAATAAAACTAGGCTGCTTTACACTCAGCAATGAATATTCCAACCCTGAGCCCTGGCCTGCTCTGGCTGATCAAACACTTTTTTGAGTGCTGCTTAACCAATGGCTGTGCTGTGTAGGGCTACGGTGGCAGTTCAGGAGGAGAGTCAAAGGTTTCTTCCAAAAATAATTGTTGATTAGGCCTAGCCCAAAAAATGCACTATCTTGCGTGCGGACTATGTTCTGTTCAGTTTGAGAAGGAGAGCATGAAGATGAGGAGGAACGGAGGTCAACTTTGATAGCTTGCTACTACTATAATTGATTTTATTAAAAACAATATGCTTCTTGCCCATTATGTATTTATTGGAGTTATTGGCCTAACAATAAGCCAGATTCGATTAATGTACATTGTGGTGCTGAAACTTGAAGCAGCAGCTGCGGCAAAATCAATCGGAAATGGACAGCTCATGGTGCTGAAAGTACGCAAAATCGAGTAGTCATAATTCATTTCAACTTCTTTATTTGAATTAAACTTTACTAACAACAAGAGGGCTTTGTGTTTGAGCCTATTTCTTCCTATTTAAGAAATAAGAGGTAGGCCTACCTGTTTGACTTACGAAATTAGGCTATAGGCTGCTATTCCTCCACCCACCATGTACTCTTTAAATAGCCTACCTCTGTGTCAGTGAAGAGCTATTAAGTTCAAACCAAGACTCGAATTTAGGGGGTATGAGAGGGTATGACATAGGTCTACCTTTTATTAAAGAAAATTGCAAAAAGCACAGGCCTACCCCCTGTTCGTTTAAGATTTTGAAGAAAATAAAACGTATCCGATTATATAAAGTGATCTATAACAGCTATTTGGTCCGCGATGCTTTATGCTGTAAAATACCAGGGAAAGAGGTGACTCAGATGCATTTGGGGATCATTGTTTCGTTTCTTTGACATTCAGAGGCTGACTCTTGGGAAGTAATCTAATTATGTCACTACCAATTAGCCTAATTAAGCTATTTACTTTATGTACAATAGAAGATGTTTAAACCCAGACAGCTTTTAGGGAAACACTTGTGACCTTCTCTCGTTGGGTTAAGCCACGGAAGAAGAGTAGCCAGCAGTGAAAGTGTTACCTTTTTCTGCGTCGGTAGGCCTACTCTGTCTGGGGTGGAAAGGTAAGCCTAACTTTTGAAAGTACCATGCTCAGATTCATATTATTTGCAAACAGGGACAGTTTCGTTGCAAACGAGACACACTGATTTGGCTTTGGAGAAATATGATAAGATGAACACATAGGCCTATCTCTCTGTCCATTCTTAACCTGTAATTCCTGTAATTTGTGTGGTATTCAAAAAATATTCCGCCAATATGTAAAATGACATGGCATGAAATGTTTATAAAATACATTTTTTTCTCGGACCTGCAAATACGATGATAGATTTATGCAATGCTTTTACTGTAAAGAAGATTTTTCCACCCCTACTCTTGTCCACGGTGGTCTGCGAAACCACAACCTTCTGTCCCGCAGCCCTGTACGCTATCAAATTCCCGCGTTGCCATGTAACGCTTATAAGATGAAAAACAGTTCATAAAACTGCACACCTAAGGCTCTGGTCTGTCCAAGAAGTGAGGGTAAACGGTAGACATGTTCTCTGCTATCCACTTTGTTTGTATTATTATCATTATACTTTTTTTCAAGCGTTCAGGGAGGGTTTTGGTAAAATATATTTTGCTGAAGGGAGGGCCATCCATTTTCATTTCAGAGGTCCGAATTTTCTCCATGTAACCCTTATCATAAATATCGTTCACTCCCTTACATGGGGGACGTTTAATTTGAACGTTTCCGAAATTCCGTGAACCGGAAGTACTTTTTTAGTGTTGCAGACGAGACGCAGCTCGCATAAATTAGTATTTGGAGATCATTTGAAAATATTTCATATTTATTTTGACTTTGGATACGAACCTTAGTTCATGGTGGTGCCAATAAAATGCTTAAGTGTCATGGTTTACATAACTCCATTAACAGTCGTCAATCTGGTACTTTTCGTTAATGGAAAGCACTCTTACCTAGTTTAGTGGAGTTAACGTCGTTAGTTATCTGGAAAGTTACTTGTCCAGTTAGCTAGAGATAGATAGCTAACGTTAGCTAAATGCGTCTGTATGCTAACGTTAGCTGGATTTGATAGCTAGCTAAAAGACAGTAAGTAGCTAGTTAGCTGGGTATGTCGTGTATATTTTGACCATGGCGTTAGCCAGTAACTAAGGGCTAGCCTAGCTAGAAGGAATTATCGGATACTAACGCTAGCTAGCAGGGACTTTTGTAGTTTTACTAGCTAGCTAAATTGCTTTTCCCTGTGGGTTTAATCTCTCCCTGCCGGGAGAATGGAGGGTACCGATGACGACGTGCCCCTCATCCTGACCTGGGATGATGCGAACAGCGGTCTGTTGAGCGAGGAGACAGAGAGGCAAGACGAGAGTAAGTTTTTGTTGACATCCCCATTTTACTGCGTACTAGGTGGCTAGCTAGGGTAGCTGACCCAGCTAACTAGATAACAAGAGTGACTGCAGCCAATGACAGTGAAATTGCATTTAGTACAGCATCTTCATAATGGCTATCATACTTTTTAGGTTTTGTCTTTGATCGGTTTGTAATTTTTGTGGAGTCTCATCATAATGATGATCATTAGCTAACTTGCTAACGTTAGGCCCTCTAATTCTATTATGTTCTTTCTAATGTTCAGCATAGATCAGATTAGGCCTGCGGAAAAAAATATGAGCTATCAGAGCGTTATTGTTTTGGTGACCTGTCCTGTTTGGGGTTTGTTGGTTGTTTATTGACATTGATAACTCAATTATCATGATGACTCAATAAGTGTTTACACATGTCCTGAACTTTCTGAATTTTAAGGACTTTTCATTACTTCACTATTCTTTGTTTACTGGTCGAGTAGGTTATGATTAATAGGTTATGAGTGAATGAGGGACTATGAAAATCTGTTTTTAAGTTACTCAAACTAGAATGATCAGCTTTAGGAATTAATGTTAAGATTTTCTGCATTTCTCTAAACCGTGCAAAAAAACAGGCTATATAATCTGTTCAAGAGATGTATCAATTGATCACGTGATACCTTTTCTTACGTTGACATGGTTGATGAAAAAGTGGTAATACACCAAACAACTTCCGCAAAGAACCACTGCCAAATGAATCTAATGGGGGGGGGGGGGGGAATGAATGACTGAACAAAGGAGTACAGAAACAAATGCATATTCTACTTTAACAGCCACTGTAGTTGAAGATAAAAGAGGCTGTAACCCTTCCATAGAGACTCACCAGAGAGGCAGCTGAGGTTAGGATTTGGCTGAGGGAGGTTTTGTTGTTAGCGGGTACGGTAGTTGGGGAGGTTCTGCTGATTGTCGTCAGAGCAGATAAATGCAGCGCTGGCTCACTGCTCTTTCGCTTTAAATTAAAAGAGAGAGGTTTCCCCATAACCCAGAGATCACGTGTGTGTTTGTGTGTGTAGTGTGTCTCCACTTCAGTAATCCTGTAGCCTTTGTACCTCTCACACACACACACTGCAAACTACCTCTCACATACATGCTGGAAACTGCAGCCTCAGCAGAGATGCAGAAACCTCTGTGTGAGTGGCCCCCCTGCACCGCGCTGCCCCCCACCCGAAGCACACGCAGGGCAGTGTGTGTCTTTCTAAGGCCCCCCGGCCCTCTCTGGTTCTGTGGGTCAGAGTGTGTGTGTGTGAGTTCTCGGTTTCCCCTCCTTTGGAAGTGGACAGGAAAAGGACGGGTGTTTTTCCAGGATATCTGGAGTGGGCAGAGCGGTGACTTCCCTGAGACCTGGGAGAAGAAGTGGAGGAGAAGATTATTCCACAGGCGGTGGAGAGCAGGACACAGCAAAGGAAGGCCTGCTCTAAAACACACAGCCTGGAGCAGACCTTCACTCAGGCTCTGGCTCACGACAGGACATGATTCAGCTGCTTCTTGTGATTTAGCCTAGTTGGAGGAGCCACCGTGGAGGAAAGAGGATTTCTGTAGTATTTTCCTGTTAGCCCGGAGGACTGACCAGGACTGTCCTGTGTGTGTTTGTATGGGCCTGGGGAGACACAGGCAGGCACGGGGCCTGACCTCAGTGCGTTGTTGACAGGAGTTCCAACATTTTATTGTTCTGAAAAACAAACGAGTGGCTGGGACTTTACCCACAGACACAGTGCTGTCAGGACAACAGCATATACTAGGTCACTTCAGAGGCCTGAGAGAACAGGAGCCTCATCAGGATTATCACTAAACTGGAGTTTGATCTCTACACAGCAGCAGACTGACCTCAGAACACGCTACTGTCACAGCACCAGCAGAGGCCTCCATGTGCAGGATCCGGCTGACTGCCTGATGGACAGCTGGCTGGCATAATCTCAGTGAGCCCTGCCTACTTGACACTCAGATCCAGTGATCACAGATGTCCGTCTGTAATTCCTAAGGAGAGGACGGAGACACATCTACTACGCATCTACTAAGATTTTATTTTTACTGCTTGATTTTATGAGGAACTTTTGATAATCTGTTTATAGATTTGTCTTTTTTTTAAGGGTCAGTGGTTAACTGGATGTATATTATCTTTAGCAAGTATGATTTATAGTTGGATTAAAACATGAGTTGGGTTGATTTAAGGATTATATCTATCATGGTGTCAGACTGAAGTCATATTGTAAGTACTTAGGGGAAGTTGAAGACCGTAGCTTAGTTTCTCCTCAGCCTGCTAAGGCTCCATACAGCCAGACCAGCCATCACACTGATCTAACCAGGACCTTCTTCATTCTCAGTCTGGTGTCTCTCACCATCAGGAGGTGACCTCACTTCCTGTCTATAACTTGAAGGACATTCCTCAAGCTAACGTTGGTGAAGAGCGGCGTTGTGGGTGGTAAAAAGGAGCCGTGTGCACAGAGAGCAGCGCTGAGGTCAAAGGCGAAACTGCACTGAGTAGAGGGAGGAAGCCCAGAGAGGAAGGGAGAGAGGAAGAGGGAAAGAGATAAGCTGTACCTCCAGAGAGTGTGACTGCAGTCTGGACTCCCCTGTCTCCCAGGCTGAGGCCAGGGTGAGAGGCTGTGGGATCCTACCCTAGCCCTTTGACTGGAGAGACACACTCTGGATGGTTCATCTGTTCACCAGCTGTCATCGGACGCTCCAGCAACATCTTGTTTTTATTGAATGGTTTGTTGCTGGGACACAGGAAAAACCTGTCTCTAAGAACACAGGGAGAAACACCAGCTCTGCATGTGTCTGGCCCTGTGTGTTTTGTGAAGACTTCAGGATCAGTTTCTAAACTGTGGAGGACCTCTCTGTCTGGGGATCCCTGTGGGGATTCTTTTTTTACATTGTCTCTCTGGCGGGCATCCATGTGCAGTGGCATGTTAGCCCCTGTGTGTCCTTGGAGGCGTGCGAACGCTGGACCTGTGGACTGTGAATGACACACACACATACACACACACACCCACTGCTTTAGGGGACCACGTCCAAACACACACACCCAAACACACACTCACAGTCCTGGACCTCTGGAGGCCAGCAGAGCCATGGAGTGTTTGGCCGTGCAGGTGGAGACTGCTGGTATCCATGACAACATTGTAGAGTTGACCCTGGAGGAGAGTCCAGCCCTCATCTCCTCATTCTGCAGCGAGCTAGAGCTAGACTGCATGGGTATGTGTGTGTGTGTGTGTGTGTGTGTGTGTGTGTGTACATGTTTCACTATACTTGTGAGTACCAGAAGCCCTCACAACAATACTAAACCAACTAAAATTCAGTGAAGTGAGGACATTTTGCCAGTCCCCACTTGTAAAAGGCTATTTTAGGTTAGGGTTAGGGAAAATAGGATTTTGAATGGGAATCAATTCTTAGTCCCAAAAAAGTCTGTGGGGGGGGATATGTCGTGAAAATGCAGGACAGTGAAGGAAACCACTAAATCACTCTGTCAGGTTTTGGAGGCTCTTTACACATTTTTATTAATAATGTTTTTTTTCTTCTACTGTGTAGATGGAGGAGGGGGGTATGACATAGTGAATAACCAGGTGATACCAACACCGGGGCCACCACCGAACTACAGATCACACAATGCCTCACTTCGACAAAGCTGGGAGATGAACTACCAGGAAGCAGCCATCTATCTACAGGTACCCCCCCCCCTCCACACAAACACACACACAGTACTTACTTGGTATTTACTTTAAATTTAGATAGTAATGATTAGCTACATTATAATGTTACGGGGTAGTTATACACTCACCGGACAGTTTATTAGGTACACACATCTAGTATCGGGTCGGAACCCCCTTTGCCTCCAGAACAGCCTGAATTCTTCGGGGCATTCTGCAAGGTTTCAGAAACGTTCCACAGGGATGTTGTACATGTTGACGCGATGGCATCACGCAGTTGCAGCAGATTGGACGGCGGTAAATTCATGCTGCGAACAGCCCGTTCCATCTCATCCCAAAGATCTGTTGGGTTGATGTCTGGGGACTGCGCAAGCCACTCAAGTAAACTGAACTTGCTGTCATGTTCCAGGCAATCTTTTTCCACTCCTCAATTGTCCAGTGTTGGTGACTGGCGCCGCTTCTTCTTGTTTTTAGCTCATAGCCATTCTCCTTCGATCTCTCTCATCAAGGAGCTGACTGGATGCCGCTGACTGGATGTTTTTTGTTTGTCGCACCATTTGCGGTAAACTCTAGATACTGTCATGTGTGAAAAGCCCAGGAGGCGGCCGTTTCTGAGGTACTAGATTCGGCCTGCCTGGCACCACGCTCATAGTCGCTTAGGTCACTCGTTTTGCCCATTCTAACGTTGAAACGAACAGTAACGGGATGCCTGTCTGCCTGCTTTATATAGGAAGCCACGTGACTCACTGTCTGTAGCAGCGATCCATTTTGTACCTAATAAACTGGCCAGTGAGTGTAAGTTGTTCATAACCTCTAACTACCTGGTGACTTTCTTATAGCTGACTGTAAGAAATCCTAGCTATGGAGGGTCAGCATCATGTGACAGGTAGATCATGTGAGTTTGAGTGCTAAACCCTTAAGGGCCTAGGCTAAACATACTTTTTTTTGGTAGCTACAGGTAAAGCTCATGTGAATGGTAGAGAGCTGTAGAACAAATGTATCATATTTTCACACTTGTGTTATCAAACAAAATTCAGCTGTAAATTTGTGTGTGTGTGTGTGGTCAATAGGAAGGAGAGAACAATGATAAGTTCTTTACACACCCTCGGAACCCCAAGGCGCTGGCAGCTTACCTGTTTGCTCACAACCACCTGTTCTACATGATGGAGCTGCTAACAGGAGTCCTACTGATGGTCCTGTCACTCTGTGAGGCTCCTGCTGTACCATCACTACGCCTGGATGTTTACGTACGTACACACATACTACCACTGACACACACTGACACAGGTCTACATCACTCTGGAGCTGCTGGGTTAGAGGTTAAAGGTTGTGTTCTGTCTCTGTAGGTCCACGCCACTCTGGAGTTACTGGCTCTGGTTATGGTGGCGTTTGAACTCTGTATGAAGCTGCGCTGGCTCGGCTTCCACACATTCATCAGACACAAGAGGACCATGGTGAAGGTAAATACCTACCTGCATAGAAGTGAAACTCCAGTCCCAAAAATTGGAGCATCCCAAACGTATCATATAGATTGCAAATAAGAATGGTCCCAGAACAGTGTCCTGAGGGACCCCGTGCCCTTTTTTTACTCACGAGTGACAAACTCTTGCCTATCAGTTGGTTTTAAAAACAGTTATAGTTTCACCATTTCATATGTCTGACACCTGGTCTGTCCTGTGTGTAGACTTGTGTGTTGCTGCTCCAGTTTGTGGAGGCCATAGTGGTTCTGATCCGGCAGACGTCGCACCTGCGTGTGACCAGAGCTCTCAGACCCATATTCCTGGTGGACTGCAGATACTGTGGTGCCGTGCGCAGGTATACACACATTTTTTGAACTAAGTCACTGAGAAATGTTGTTTGCAAAGCATGAATAACTGTTGTGTGTTGTCATCCTCTTGTCCAATCAGAAACCTGCGTCAAATCTTCCAGTCCCTTCCCCCTTTTATAGACATCCTGCTGCTGCTGCTCTTCTTCATGGTCATCTTTGCCATCCTGGGTGAGACACACACACACACACACCATTTTGGCTGTTCGTCAAGGTTGATAACGACATTGATCCTAGATGATAATCCTTGATGAGTCTCCAAAAACAGTGGACAATTGAACAGTGGAAATTATGATTATATAGACAACCTCAAAATGAATAAAATCCCTTATGTTCTATTGTGCCTGTCTGAGTATGGATCTGTTCTCTCTCTCTACAGGCTTCTGTCTGTTCTCCCCTAATACTTCTGATCCGGTGAGTGAGAATGACATTTGCAGTATGTTGTGCCTCTGTAGAAGCCTGCTAGTCTTGTGCTAACTGGAGTGGTCTATCTTATACTGGTCTCATACCGTTTTGTCTGGTGTTCTCTCTCCTCAGTACTTCAACACTCTGGAGAACAGCATCGTTAGTCTTTTTGTGCTTGTGACCACCGCAAAGTAAGACTTGCTCCGATACCACACACACACCAGCTCCTGTCTAATAGTCTGATGTTTCATACTCTGTGACTGTTTTGATTGTAATACTCTCTAAAGACAGCATTGTGCCTGATGAGATTGAATTACTCTCTAAAGACAGTATATTGCCTGATGCAGTGTTTCTGCTGCATTCATTTAGCTGTGGCAAAAAAATTATAATAATAAAAAAAAAAGTGCAAACTTCTTGCAATTCTACACATTCCGCCATGGGGCATAGAGAAAAATTGCTAATTTCCTAGAATTCTACACATTTTGTCATGGGGCAGAGACATTTTTTCAGTTTTATAGCTAATCTCATGCTATTCTACACATTTTACCATGAGGCTGAGAGAACATTTTGCAGTTTAAAAGCTAATTTCCTATCATTCTAAACATTTTGCCATGGCTTATGACATGTTCATATGCTATCTGGGGGGGCCCTGAGCTTTCGGGGGCCCCCAACCAAAAATAAATTCACCGGAAAGACTGCAGCTCCAGCTGTCAGAAAAGGGAGAGCGTCTGCAATTGGGTAGGGCAGGTAGCGCACTGTCTAATTACATTTTTTATTCATTTTGGAGTACAATGTCCCCCCTCCCCCCCACTGCTATTAACACTGGCCTGATGAGATTGTATTACCAAAAACAATACACTATGAAGATATGCAGAAACTGCTTCTCCAATAGAAATCCCCAATCACACTTGTAGGCAATGTCATGGTGACATTAGCTAGCATAGCTCATGCGCAGAAACAAGTCATTGGGTCTAACAGTCGTGTCACGCCAAACTGCGCATTTGCAGGCCGTTAAATGAAAGGCAAGCCTTCGATATAAAGTTGTTTTTGACAAAAATTAAAACGTGTCAGTTTGTCACTTTCACGAGGTTGTAGTAATGACAGGTTCAGCTACTTAAAACATTGTCTCAAATCTGTTTTGCCTTTAGAATGAGAAAAAATTAACAAGTAAGGACACATTTTTCACTTCTCCCATTGACTTGCCAAACCCTGGTCTGGTCTGTCGAGCCTACTTCGCGCCGTGTTCACGGAGGTATCGCAATGTTGCGCCTCTGGGTTTGAAAACTCTGGTATTACTCTCTCAAGACAGAATGGTGCCTGATGAGATTGTATTAATCTCTAAGCATTGTGCCAGTTGGGATTGTATTGCTCTCTAAAGACAGTATAGAACCTAATGAGACTTCTGGTGTGTCCTGTTTCCTCTAGCTTCCCAGATGTGATGATGCCTGCGTACTCTCGCAACCGCTGGTCCTGTGTCTTCTTCATCGTCTACCTCTCCATAGAACTCTACTTCATCATGAACCTGGTACACACACAAACACAATCTGTTGTTTCCTCCCTGTGCACCCTATGGCCATGGTGTAATACTGTGTGTGTTGCAGCTCCTGGCGGTGGTGTTCGATACGTTTAACGGTGTTGAGAAGATGAAGTTTAAATCTCTGCTGCTCCACAAACGCTCCGCTATCGACCATGCCTTCCAACTTCTGGTCAGCAGACAGGTACACACACACACGTTTAGCACCCATCTAAAATGTCTGTAAGCTGTTGTAACTTATGTATAACTGCTGAATTTCGTGTGTTTGTGTGTTGTCTCCCCAGAGGCCAATGGGTGTGTCTCTGAAGCAGTTCGATGGTCTGATGCGTTTCTACAGACCTCGTATGTCATCCAGAGACCGCTTCCTCACATACAAGGCCCTCAACACTGCAGGAGCACCCATGCTCAGGTAACACACACACATACACTCATACAGACATCACAAGCAAACACACACACACACTATAAGTGTTGTTGATTTAAAGTCTTTGTGATGTTCTGTTGCAGCCTGGAGGACTTTTATAAGTTCTATGAAGTCATCGGTCTCAAATGGAAGGTAAGACTAACACACACACACAATACACAATGCGCACACACACACACACACACAATTCTCATATTTCTCTGTGTGGATACCTGTACCTATATACACACCTCTCTGTGGTGTGTGTGTGTGTGTGTGTGTGTGTGATTGTACTCTGTAGGCACGGCGGAGCGGGGAACACTGGTTTGATGATCTTCCACACACTACTTTTCTTATCTTCAAAGGTGATTCCTACTTTTTCCCTTCCATCTTCCATCCATCCATCCATCCACTGCTGTGTTCCTCTCCTCTCATGTGAGGTGACTCAGACTGACTGACATCCTTCTGTTTCTGTTTCTACCAGGCATCAACCTGCTGGTCAAGTCTAAAGCCTTCCAGTATACCATGTGTAAGTGGACATCCATTACTATTATCTGTGTTGTCATCCTAGGACAAAACTTACTCTAGGACATGATTAACTGTAGGACAGCCTGACTCTCCTCTCTCTCCCCTCTAGATGTGGTGGTGGCCGTTAACGGAGTGTGGATCTTAGTAGAGACCTACATGTTGAATAGTAAGAGTCTTAGTAGAGACAGTACCATTCAAAAGTTTGGACACACCTACTCATTCAAGGGTTTTTCTTTATTTTTACTATTTTCTACATCGTAGAATAATAGTGAAGACATCAAAACTATGAAATAACACATATGGAATCATGTAGTAACCAAAAAAGTGTTAACAAATCAAAATATATTTTATATTTGAGATTCTTAAAATAGCCACCCTTTGCCTTGATGACAGCTTTGCACACTCTTGGCATTCTCACAACCAGCTTCACCTGGAATGCTTTTCCAACAGTCTTGAAGGAGTTCCCACATATGCTGAGCACTTGTTGGCTGCTTTTCCTTCACTCTGCCGTCCGACTCATGCCAAACCATCTCAATTGGGTTGAGTTCGGGGGATTGTGGATGCAGCACTCCATTACTCTCCTTCTTGGTAAAATAGCCCTTACACAGCCTGGAGGTGTGTTAGGTCATTGTCCTGTTGAAAAACAAATGATAGTCCCACTAAGCCCAAACCAGATGGTTTGGCATATCGCTGCAGAATGCTGTGGTAGCCATGCTGGTTAAGTGTGCCTTGAATTTGAAATATATCACAGACAGTGTCACCAGCAAAGCACCCCCACACCATAACACCACCTCCTCCATGCTTTACGGTGGGAAATACACATGCATAGATCATCCGTTCACCCAGACCGCGTCTCACAAAGCCACAGCGGTTGGAACCAAAAATCTCCAATTTGGACTCCAGACCAAAGGACAAATTTCCACCGGTCTAATGTCCATTGCTCTTGTTTCTTCACCCAAGCAGGTCTCTTCTTCTTATTGGTGTCCTTTAGTAGTGGTTTCTTTGCAGCAATTCGACCATGAAGGCCTGATTCACACAGTCCCCTCTGAACAGTTGATGTTGAGATGTGTCTGTGACTTGAACTCTGTGAAGCATTTATTTGGGCTGCAATTTCTGAGGCTGGTAACTCTAATGAACTTATCCTCTGCAGCAGAAGTAACTATGGGTCTTCCATTCCTGTGGCGGTCCTCATGAGAGCCAGTTTCATCATAGTGCTTGATGGTTTTTGCGACTGCACTTGAAGAAACGTTCAAAGTTCTTGAAATTTTCCATATTGACTGACCTTCATGTCTTAAAGTAATTATGGAATGTTGTTTCTCTTTGCTTATTTGAGCTTTTCTTGCCATAATATGGACTTGGTCTTTTACCAAATAAGGCTATCTTCTGTATACCCCCCCTACCTTGTCACAACACAACTGATTGGCTCAAATGCATTAAGAAGGAAATAAATTCCACAAATTAACTTTTAAGAAGGCACACCTGTTAATTGAAATGCATTCCAGGTGACTACCTCATGAAGCTGGTTGAGAGAATGCCAAGAGTGTGCAAAGCTGTCATCAAGGCAAAGAGTAGCTATTTGAAGAATCTCAAATATACTTTTTTTGGTTACATGATTCCATATGTGTTATTTCATAGTTCTGATGTCTTCACTGTTATACTACAATGTAGAAAATAGTAAAAATAAAGACAAACCCTTGAATGAGTAGGTGTGTCCAAACTTTTCACAGGTAGTGAACATGTTGAATAGTTTCCACATTTTGTTAAGTTACAGCCTTATTCTAAAATGGATCAGTCTACACACAATACCCCATAATGACAAAGACCCTTTACTCAGTACTTTGTTGATTACAGCCTTGAGTCTTCTTGGGTATGACGCTATAAACTTGGCACACCTGTATTTGGGGAGTTTCTCCCATTCTTCTCTGCAGATCCTCTCAAGCTCTGTCTGGTTGAATGGGGAGCGTTGCTGCACAGCTATTTTCAAGTCTCTCCAGAGATGTTCGATCGGGTTCAAGTCCGGGCTCTGGCTGGCCCGCTCAAGGATATTCAGAGACTTGTCCCAAAGCCACTCCTGCGTTGTCTTGGCTGTGTGCTTAGGGTCGATGTCCTGTTGGAAGGTGAACCTTCGCCCCAGTCTGAGGTCCTGAGAGCTCTGGAGCAGGTTTTCATCAAGGATCTCTCTGTACTTTGCTCCGTTCATCTTTGCCTCGATCCTGACTAGTCTCCCAGTCCCTGCCGCTGAAAAACATCCCCATAGCATGATGCTGCCACCACCATGCTTCACCGTAGGGATGGTGCCAGGTTTCCTCCAGACATGACGCTTGGCATTCAGGCCAAAGAGTTCAATCTTGGTTTCATCAGACCAAAGAATCTTGTTTATCATGGTCTGAGAGTCTTTAGGTGCCTTTTGGCAAACTCCAAGCGGGCTGTCATGTGCCTTTTACTGAGGAGTGGCTTCCGTCTGGCAACTCTACCATAAAGGCCTGATTGGTTGAGTGCTGCAGAGATTGTTGTCCTTCTGGAAGGTTCTCCCATCTCCACAGAGGAACTCTAGAGCTCTGTCAGAGTGACCATCGGGTTCTTGGTCACCTCCCTGACCAAGGCCCTTCACCTCCGATTGCTCAGTTTGGCCAGGCGGCCAGCTCTAGGAAGAGTCTTGGTGGTTCCAAACTTCATTCATTTAAGAATGATGGAGGCCACTGTGTTCTTGGCGACCTGCAATGCTGCAGAAATGTTTTGGTACCCTTCCCCAGATCTGTGCCTCGACACAATCCTGTCTCGGAGCTCTACGGACAATTCCTTCGACCTCATGGCTTGGTTTTTGCTCTGACATGCACTGTCAACTGTGGGACCTTATATAGACAGGTGTGTGCCTTTCCAAATCATGTCTAATCAGTAGAATTTACCACAGGTGGACTCCAGTCAAGTTGTAGAAACATCTCAAGGATTATCAATGGAAACAGGATGCACCTGAGCTCAATTTCGAGTCTCATAGCAAAGGGTCTGAATACTTATGTAAATAAGGTATTTCTGTTTTTAGGGTTTAATACATTTGCAAACATTTCTAAAAACCTTGGTTCGCTTTGTCATCATGGGGTATTGTGTGTAGATTGCTGATTTGTATTTATTTAATCCATTTTAGAATAAGTCAGTAACGTAACAAAATGTGGAAAAAGTCAAGGGGTCTGAATACTTTCCGAAGGCACTGTACATGTTGAGTAGTAAATGTCTTAATAGAGACCTACATGTTGAATAGTAACTAAATCTATTCCCAAACTATAAAGTACTTTTAATGCAGATTCTCTATTTAGCATGCTTTTTAGTTCAGGACTAGGCTTAATCTGTAAGGTTGTTTCTGATCTCTGTCCTGGCCCCTCACCCTGCAGGTGGATTTTCCTGGTCCAGAATAGTTCCCTGGAGCTACATCGTCTTCCTCACCAGTAAGAACACACACAAACACACACACACACACACAGAGCCACATCCTCTTCGTCCCTTGTGAGAACACACACATTTGTACTCCCCCCTCTCTCTTTCTCAATCTCTAGTCTATGGGGTGGAGGTGTTGTTGAAGGTAACAGGCTTGGGGCCGTTGGCCTACTTCAGCTCCGGCTGGAACCTGTGAGTACTGACCATTAAACCCTAACACCTTACCCTCAACCATTAGCATGTCCACTGTGTTTATCCAGTAGCCATCAATGTCTGTGTTTGCCTCACCAGGTTTGACTTCACTGTGACAGTGTTTGCCTTTCTGGGCTTGATTGCTCTGGCCTTTGACATGGAGCCCTTCTACTTCATTGTGGTGCTGAGACCGCTGCAGCTACTCAGGTGGGTTACCATAACAATACACATCTATGTTTTTGGGGGGCAATTAGTTTGTGTGGGTATTTTGTTAGGTACATGCATATGTGTGTTATGTAGATTTATAAATATTGTTTTGATCACCATGTAAGTGTGTGCGCTCCGTTTGTAAGTGTGTGTGTTTTCTCTCTCAGGTTGTTTAAGATAAAGCAGAGGTATCGCAATGTGTTGGACACTATGTTTGAACTCTTCCCAAGGATGGCAAGGTAAGGCCTTTGCTTCCTGACCTCTGAACCATAACCCACTATATTTACATACAATGCATGAATTAACCCTTTAATAAGAACCTTAATGTGTGTGTTCTCAGTCTGGGGCTGACACTGATCATTTTCTACTACTCCTTTGCCATCGTGGGGATGGAGTTCTTCGCTGACGTAGTTTACCCTAACTGCTGCAAGTGAGTCATACATACACTCATCATACACACAGTTCACTCACACACTCCACACACTAACCTGTAAATCCACCCTGACACGTTGTTCGAAGCAGAGCCTACCACAGACTACGAATTCTAGAAAGGATATTGGCGCTCCAGTAATATGACTACAAGACGGCTATCTTGGTCAGGGTGGTTCACATGGGTTTCAGTTATTTGTTATTTATCTCTCTACTCTCTCTCTCTCTCTCTCTCTCTCTCTCTCTCTCTCTCTCTCTCTCTCTCTCTCTCTGTCTCTCTCTGTCTCTCTCTCTCTCTCTCTCTCTCTCTCTCTCGCTCTCGCTCTCACAGTACCAGTACAGTAGCAGATTCATACAGGCAGATCAATGTAACCATAGGCAACAGGACGGTTCTGGACGAGGGCTACTACTATCTCAACAACTTCAACAACATCCTCAGCAGCTTTGGTAAACACACACAGAAGTCAATACTAGGCAGTTCCCTGTTGTTATATATACTGAACAAAAATATAAACACAACATGCAACAATTTCAAAGATTTTACTGAGTTACAGTTCATATAAGGAAACCCGTCAATTGAAATAAATTAATTATTGGCAGCCAGGCCCAGCCAATCAGAAAGAGCTTTTCCCCACAAAAGGGCTTTATTACAGAGAAATACTCCCCAGAACCCCCCCCCCCAGACGATCCCACAGGTGAAGAAGCCGGGCTGGCGTGGTTACATGTGGTCTGCGGTTGTGAGGCCGGTTGGACGTACTACCAATTTCTCTGGCAACAGCTCTGGTGGACATTTCTGCAGTCAGCATGCCAATTGCACGCTCCCTCAAAACTTGAGACATCTGTGGCATTGTGTTGTGTGACAAAACTGCACATTTTAAAGTGGCCTTTTGTCCCCAGCACAAGGTGCACCTGTGTAATGATCATGCTGTTTAATCAGCTTCTTGATATGCCATACCTGTCAGGTGGATGGATTATCTTGGCAAAGGAGAAATGCTCAATAACAGGGATGTAAACAAATTTGTGCACAAAATCTGAGCTAAATAAGCTTTTTATGCATATGGTAAATGTCTGGGACTTTTTATTTCAGCTCATGAAACACTTTACTTCATGTTGCGTTTTATATTTTTATTTAGTGTAATAAAGTGCTAGGGATTGATTTGGAATTCAGCATCTCTCCCTCTCCTTCTCTCTCTGCAGTGACTCTGTTTGAGCTGACTGTGGTAAACAACTGGTACATCACCATGGTAATGCTCTGTTCGCCCTCTCACTGAATGCTGCCGGTCACCTATCTGATTAAACCTCTGCTGCTACCTGACTGTCAAGCTTTTCCAGCGTTGTGATTGATTGCTGAGGTTGATTGACAGCTGCTGTCCCCTACCCCACAGGAAGGTGTGACCTCCATGACCACTCACTGGAGCCGCCTCTACTTCATGACCTTCTACATCGTCACCATGGTAAGAAGGGTGTGTCTGTGTGTGCACATATGCTTGTTTGTGTGTGTGCGCATGTGTGTGTAATCATTTCTGTCTGTCCTCTATAGGTGGTGATGACCATCATCGTTGCCTTCATCCTGGATGCGTTTGTGTTCCGTATGAACTACAGCCGGAAGAACAAAGAACCACTGTTAGACCCTGAGGGTAAGTGTGCGAGTGAACAGTCATAGTAAGATGAGAACGGTATAGTGCTTGAAATGTGTGTGTAAAGATGGTGTGTTTGTGTGTTGTAGATGAGAACGGTATAGTGTTTGAGGCAGAGGCGAGTCGTGACGAGGCGTTGGCTACTCTGGAGCTTTATAAGCAGACGTGCCCTGGACTCTCCTCACTTAACTCTCTACAGGGAGTACTGCTGGCCATGGACCGCAGCGGGGTGAGAACACAGAGCTACACTCTCACAAATACACGCACACAAACCCCGTCCTACACTCTTACAAATATAGACTGACGTGTGTGTGTGTAGAGCTCGTCTCTGGTGTATCTGGGTCGGAGGTCGCGGACCAAGAGTGACCTCAGCATGAAGATGTACGAGGAGGAGATCCAGGTTAGTCACACTGCCATGACAACCAGAACCCTGCTGACTGCTCCATATTAGATGTCTCTTTAAAAGACACTTTAGCTTACTTGATCTAGCTTGCCTCACTGTCTAACCAATTGGATTATACAAATTAGTATATTTTTGACGTCAGCTGTGACAAAAAAATTGAAAATAGGATGATTAATGTGTTATTTGTGTGTGTGTGTAGGAGTGGTATGCTGAGTACTCCAGAGTGAATGTACCCCAGTCAGACAGAAGCCTAGTGGATAGAGAGCTGGACATCCCTCCTCCCTGCCCTGACCCTGAACATGAATCCTAACCCCAGCTCAACTCACAAGGACTATTTAGCACCAACTAACCCTCACTCACTGTTTCTCTCCTTCAAACACACACTCCCATACGCACTCACACACCTCTTTGACTTCAGTCATCATGCCAAAGAGCACTCTGTGAACTAAATGTTTTCCACAATGACAATAGAGACCCCCTCAACACTCCATCTCTCCCTCCCTCTCCACCCATCCTGAGGGATTGTACTCTGGCACCCTGGTGGACAGTAGGGACGTGGACAGATGTGATGTCACTGGACTACAGCCTGGATCCCAGCAGTGATTTGTGATATGAATCATGTTCTCTCTCTGACTGGATCTCAGTGTTCAGACAGGTTTAAGAGCTTTATCTAACCCCAACCCTTACAGGACCTTAGTCTGCTGATGCATGGATAGGAGAAGCAGAGCATCGATGGATGGGTTAGAGGTCAGGGTTTTTAAGGGTCAGGGTTAGGCCTTCTAGCTGTGAGACAGAGAGCTGATATTCAGGACCGCCACCTGAGGACGACGAGACACTAGGATGGACTTGGGATTTCACAGTACTCTTTTTTACTGCTCGGAGAGGACACATCTGGACACGGAAATGACACACACCTGTAGATTAACCATAGAGATAAATAGAGGACTCTAGTGCCCAAAAGCCTGTTTTAGCCTGGGCAGCACCATTGAGGACTTTCACCATTTTTAAGTAGTCAACTGGGTGGGACTTTCTATGGGTTAAGGAAGGATCACATCATTCCATCCAGTTCATCAGGAGGGATCAGCCAATGAATTATACTCGTGGCCAAACATTCCATAACTGCATGTGACAGTAAATCGCTAACCTTGGCATTATAACCGTTCAAACACACTCCAGGTGGCAGTATGCACCCTTTCAGTTTGTAGAAGTAGTAAAATAAGAAAATGGACTACTTAAAAATGGAGATGGCCTCAATGGCGCTGCCCTTGCTCTCACAGACGCCATAATGGGACAGATACAATGTTGCTTCCTCCATCTCTATGAGATGAACACTGTGCTCCCTGTAGATACACACACTCTACAGCCTATTTTGTAGTCACTCCCCCTTCTGTGTTCATTCTGAGGTCAGGGGTCTTCGGACTGCCCTGGTATCAAGACACACCCGCCCTGTCTGCCAGCACTAATCTAAGCCCCCTCAAAAGCCACTACACACACACCCCCCTCAAACCCCTGCACCTGTTCAGTAACCTACAGCGATATCTCCTAACCAGTGTCTCATCATACCTAAGAGAGTACTTTACTTTTATAACTTGTTATTCTGTCAGTGTATTAAATTAGGAATAATTTAAATAAATTGTTCACTTTGTCAAGTGCATTTGCGTAGCTACCTTTGCTTTGGTGGTCGGGCTCAGACTAGCCCTGAGATATGGCTATAGACACCTATGGTCTATTAACCATCTGTGGTTGTTACATGTAGGGTTTTAGATGTTTTATTTATATCTTTAACAGAGACCATACACAATAATCAACATTGCAGAACCGAGACATGAGTCTACACATAGAGCCTTTTATTTATTTATTTCATTTATCCTTAAATGGGCGTTTCCTGGTTCAATAGAGACCCAGAGTCTCTTTTTCAAGGGAGACCTGGCCAAGAAGGCAGCAACAATCAATACATTACAGAATTAAAACATACAACAATTGAATACAATTCAACGACATGATCCCGCCTAAAAAAAGCATTTACACCGCTGTAACAGTCTCCCATATTTTCTAATAATTCATTCAGTGGCACTAGCATATCTAGATGAAGCATGGGTTGTAGACTATTCCATGCCTCTGGTGCACAAGACGAGAAGCCAGTCTTGCCTAATACTGTAAATGTTCTGGGGACTTTAATTAGCAAACACTTAGCAGACCGGGTATGGTAACTGCTGGTGGTGAAGGAGACCAGACTACAGGGGTAAAAGGCTATGTAGATTAACACATACAAATGTAGCTTTCTGCGCATATAAAGTCAGGTCGCTTTGGATAAAAGCGTCTGCTAAATGTCATATTATTATTATTATTAGGTCCAACCCACCATTTGGTACAAGGTGCAATGGTGGGTGAGTGACTTGGCATTTGTAATAAAGCGTAAGGATGCATGACAGAGGAGGCTGCATGCATATACAGTTGAAGTCTGAAGTTTACATACACTTAGGTTGCAGTCATTAAAACTCGTTTTTCAACCACTCCACAAATTTCTTGTTAACAAACTAGTTTTTGCAAGTCTGTTAGGACATCTACTTTGTGCATGACACAAGTAATTTTTCCAACAATTGTTTACAGACAGATTATTTCACTTATTCACTGTATCACAATTCCAGTGGATCAGAAGTTTACATACACTAAGTTGACTGTGCCTTTAAACAGCTTGGAAAATTCCAGAAAATTATCATGGCTTTAGAAGCTTCTGATAGGCTAATTGACATAATTTGAGGACATAGTCAATTGGAGGTGTACCTGTGGATATATTTCAAGGACTACCTTCAAACTCAGTGCCTCTTTGCTTGACATCATGGGAAAATCAAAATAAATCAGTCAAGATTTGCGAAAAGTGCAAATTAATCCCAGAACAACAGCAAAGGACCTTGTGAAGATGCTGTAGGAAACGGGTACAAAAGTATCTATATTCACAGTAAAACGAGTCCTATATCGAAATAACCTGAAAGGCCGCTCAGCAAGGAAGAAGCCACTGCTCCAAAACCGCCATAAAAAAGCCAGACTACAGTTTGCAACTGCACATGGGGACAAATATTGTACTTTTTGGAGAAATGTCCTCTGGTCTGATGAAACAAAAATAAAACTGGAAGGAAAATTATATTGAAGCAACATCAAGACATCAGTCAGGAAGTTAAAGCTTGGTCACAAATGGGTCATCCAAATGGACAATGACCCCTAGCATACTTCCAAAGTTGTGGCAAAATGGCTTAAGGACAACAAAGTCAAGGTATTGGAGTGGCCATCACAAAGCCCTGACCTCAATCCTATAGAAATTTGTGGGCAGAACTGAAAAAGCGTGTGTGAGCAAGGAGGCCTACAAACCTGACTCAGTTACACCAGCTCTGTCAGGCGGAATGGGCCAACATTCACCCAACTTATTGTGGGAAGCTTGTGGAAGGCTACCTGAAAAGTTTGACCCAAGTTAAACAATTTAAAGGCAATGCTACCAAATACTAATTGAGTGTATGTAAACTTCTGACCCACTGGGAATGTAATGAAATAAATAAAATATTAAATAAATCATTCTCTCTACTATTATTCTGACATTTCACATTCTTAAAATAGAGTGGTGATCCTAACTGACCTAAAAAAGGGATTTTTTACTAGGATTAAATGTCAGAAATTGTGAAAAACTGAGTTTAAATATATTTGGCTAAGGTGTATGTAAACTTCCGACTTCAACTGTGCAACAAGTCACCATAATCAATTACAGAGAGAAAAGTGGCCTGAACAAGCTTCTTTCTGGCCTTAAGCGGGACGCAATTCTTATTACGAAAATAAAACCCCAATTTCAATTTAAACTTCCTCACAAGATTATCCATATGAACTTTAAAGGACAACTTGTCATCCAACCATATACCTAGGTATTTGTAGGATGAGACTTTTTCAATGGATAAGCCACCAGATGTGACAATGCTAACCTTCTCTGGCTGAGTGCGAGCTCTGGTAAAGGTCATGAATTTTGTTTTTTGTACATTCAAGACCAGTTTAAGACCATAAAGGGAGGCCTGCAGTGACTGAAAAGCAGTCTGGAGCTCTTCAACAGCCTGAACCAGAGAAGGAGCACATGAATATATGACTGATCTGCATATAGATGCAACCTTGCTGGTTGTATCCATTTCCCAGATCATTAATACAAATTGAGAACACCGGAACTAAAATGGAACCCTGGGGCACACCTCTATTAATCTCAAGAAAGCTAGACTTGTGATTGTCAGCATATACACTACCGGTGAAAAGTTTTAGAACACCTACTCATTCAAGGGTTTTCTTTATTTTTTACTATTTTCTACATTGTAGAATAATAGTGAAGACAACAAAACTATGAAATAACACATATGGAATCATGTAGTAACCAAAAAAAGTGTTAAACAAATCAAAATGTTATATTTGAGATTCTTCAAATAGCCACTCTTTGCCTTGATGACAGCTTTGCACACTCATGGCATTCTCTCAACCAGCTTCATGAGGTAGTCACCTGGAATGAATTTCAATTAACAGGTCTGCCTTCTTAAAAGTTAATTTGTGGAATGTATTTCCTTCTTAATGCGTTTGAGCCAATCAGTTGTGTTGTGACAAGGTAGGGGGGGTATACAGAAGATAGCCCTATTTGGTAAAAGACCAAGTCCATATTATGGCAAGAACAGCTCAAATAAGCAAAGAGAAACGACAGTCCATCATTACTTTAAGACATGAAGGCCAGTCAATACGGAACATTTCAAGAACTTGAAAGTTTCTTTAAGTGCAGTCGCAAAAACCATCGAGCGCTATGATGAAACTGGCTCTCATGAGGACCGCCACAGGAATGGAAGACCCAGAGTTACCTCTGCTGCAGAGGATAAGTTCATCTCAACATCAACTGTTCAGAGGAGACTGTGTGAATCAGGCCTTCATGGACGAATTGCTGCAAAGAAACCACTACTAAAGGACACCAATAAGAAGAAGACTTGCTTGGGCAAAGAAACAAGAGCATTGGACATTAGACCGGTGGAAATATGTCCTTTGGTCTGGAGTCCAAATTGGAGATTTTTGGTTCCAACCGCCGTGTCTTTGTGAGATGCGATGTGGGTGAACGGATGATCTCCGCATGTGTATTTCCCACCGTAAAGCATAGAGGAGGTGGTGTTATGGTGTGGGGGTGCTTTGCTGGTGACACTGTCTGTGATTTATTTAGAATTCAAGGCACACTTAACCAGCATGGTTACCACAGCATTCTACAGCGATAGGCCATCCCATCTGGTTTGGGCTTAGTGGGACTATCATTTGTTTTTCAACAGGACAATGACCCAACACACCTCCTCCAGGCTGTGTAAGGGCTATTTTACCAAGAAGGAGGGTTGCATCAGATGACCTGGCCTCCACAATCCCCCCGACCTCAACCAAATTGAGATGGTTTGGGATGAGTCGGACGACAGAGTGAAGGAAAAGCAGACAACAAGTGCTCAGCATATGTGGGAACTCCTTCAAGACTGTTGGAAAAGCATTCCAGGTGAAGCTGGTTGAGAGAATGCCAAGAGTGTGCAAAGCTGTCATCAAGGCAAAGGGTGGCTATTTGAAGAATCTCAAATATAAAATATATTTTGATTTGTTTAACACTTTTTTGGTTACTACATGATTCCATATGTGTTATTTCATAGTTTTGATGTCTTCACTATTATTTTACAATGAAAATAGTAAAAATAAAGAAAAACCCTTGAATGAGTAGGTGTTCTAAAACTTTGGACTGGTAGTGTACATATTGTGTTCTGTCAGAAAGATTGGTTTAGGAACTATTTACTGCCCTTCACTGAGACCAATGTTACTGAGTCTAGCAAGCAACAATTCATGGTCAACTGAATCAAATGCCTTTGATAAATCAGCAAACAGAGCAGCACAATGTTGCTTTTTATCAAGTGCATTTATGTCATTTGCCACAGCTGCAGTTGTGGCGCTGTGCCCCGATCTAAAGCCAGACTGAACACCGCTCAGTATGTTATTTTCAATTAAGATGTTTTTTTAAACTATGAGTTCACTAGGGATTTGTGATTTACCTGGATCTCAGTTCCTTTAACACATTTACACACAGCCCAGACACAGTTCCCATAAGAGCATCCTTTACCAAAGGTGCTTTATGCAACAATTCCACCTGCAAATATCTTTCAGGGGCAGTAATGTACTACCTTTATATCGATCATACATCTGTCATAGTAAAGGAAACAATTTCTTGATAAAAAAATGTTTTAAACATTGTTTGAAGCTACTACGTAAAGTAGCTCGTTTAGGGCCATCTTCAAATAATTTTAACAGCTGCGCCTTGCTGTTTCATGATTGGTTCCACTTCTCAGAAGTTGGAACTATATGGGTATTTCTATGCCATAACAGCATAGAGCACATTTTACAATTGACTCACATCAACCATTACATACAGCAGTGTGTCTCGCTACGAAAGGAGACACTGCATTCACATTGATTTAAAGGAGAGAACTCCCTCCCTTAAAGTGCTACTGCAGCTTTTTTCTTGTATTTTTTTCTCATTGTTGGTATTTGGGTTACTTTTAAAACAGTGTTATACTGCTTTCACATAGGATTCACAGTATGTTGTGTGTAAAAACAATTGTTCCTACAGTCATTTCTGTATATGTGTATAATTGTTTTGTGTGGACCCCAGGAAGAGTAGCTGTTGCTCATGTAACACCTAATGGCGATCTAAATATAAAAATACAGTCAGTGCAAACAGACAAAAGTAAAGCCACAGGGTGATTGGCTCCAACTCAGTTAAGGCACAGTGTTATTGGCTGTAACACCATTTCTCCCAGGAGGAGGGAAGTCACTCAGGTCTCGGACCGTCTTGTCAGTACTCACAGGCGGCTCCACCAGACTGGTCCAAACCATCCCTTACAGGCTTCAGGTGTGGATAAACCCAAACTCAGTGAGCAGCGCAACCAGGAGGAAGACCGCGTAGAAGAGCAGGAGGAAGATTCCGTAGGACCGGCCCATGTGGAAACAGCGCAGAGGAACTAGGACGAAGGAGAGGACCAGAGAGAGACCCAGAGAACCTGCTAGAACCCAGGTCAACAAACCCGCTGGTTCAAACTGGGGGGTGGGGGTTAGAGAGAGGAGAGAGGAGAGGAGGGAGGGAGGGGGAGGGGGGGGGGTTTGCAATAGGGTAGTACCAGTCATATCATGTGGAAACTGAAAAAAGTGTCGCACAGTTCAATACTGGGACCGCTGCTATTCTCTCATTGTTAAACATTTTCATTTATTTCCTGATAAAACTGTCCTATGCGCTTCAGACAAAGACATTTCTCTGGTCACTACCTCTCTACAAAATGTTTATGACACCCAATGACAAACTCAGCTCATATCTATTGAAGCTAAGAGCAGACGTACCGTCACCACAGGCTTGTTGTTAAACATCTGCATCAGACAGCCAATGCCCAATCCAATCAGCATGTCTTGAGAGGAACATGGTCAAGGACAGAAACATGATGCATACACGTAGCACAGGTACACACATTCACAGCCATAAACAACACACACACACACACACTCGCATTATGCTTGCACAAACATGTCCAGCAGACACACAAAAGGATACTAAAGATGATTCCCCCAAAGCAGGCTGATATTGCCATCCGAGGGTAGCCCTGGCGAGCGATGGTGACGTCAGAAAAACTATCTGGAAACAAACAGATTCAACACTACAGCAAGCAAGCAGTCAGTCTGTCTTCTGTTGAATGATTAGTAGGTGAGCGCAGATAACCTCAGTTTGTGTGTATGTGTCTCACCCCCTATGCTGTTTCCCCAAGCCAGCAGTGTGAGACCCAGTAAATTGTTGGACAGACTAAGGACCACACCGAGCATGTGCAGGATACTGACCACCTCCAAGGCCGCAGCACTGATCCATATTGCACTCACCACAAAGCCCAGCAGAGAGAACAGCTATGGAGAAAACCCAAACACATCATACACACTCACCACAACACCTAGCAGAGACAACAACAGCTATGGTGAGAATGCATGTGTCTATGTATGTGTTCTTACTGTGTGGTATGGCGGGGGGTGGTCGTTGGTGGTGGTGAGGAAGACTATGGCGGAGAGGAAGAGGCCAAAGAGCAACATCAACGCCCAGACAGGAAACTGACCCTCGATCCGATACAAACCGTCTAGAGCGAGAAAGAGACACCAGTCCAGTCGGTTAGCACACTTCTTCTGGAGAGGATGTTACATTTTACGGAATAAGAGATTGAGGTTCTTTGACCACACACCCATACACAGAAGTGTTGCACAGGTCATCTGTTTGTTCACCTGCACCCGCCCGCAATTGCTAATAACCCATCCGCAACCGCCAGACTATATGTGATAAAGTGAATATCTGAGGTCCGCACCCAACCCTAACCAGCTAATATAGAAAATGCGCTGTAGGCTACAGTCAGAAATGGTGTAACGATTTTTTGACAGGGGGTGCAGGATTTATTTGCCTGTAGGCTATTTGTTAGTCAACTTGTCTATAATTATATACAGTGCCTTCGGAAAGTATTCAGACCCCTTTACTTTTTCCACATTGTTACGTTACAGCCATATCTAAAATGTATTAAATAAATAAAATTCCTCAGCAATCTACACACAATACCCTATAATGACAAAGCAAACAGGTTTTTAGATATTTTTGCAAATGTATTTACAAATAAATACAGAAATACCTTATTTACATAAGTATTCAGACCCTTTACTATGAGACTCGAAATTGAGCTCAGGTGCATCCTGTTTCCATTGATCATCCTTGAGATGTTTCTACAACTTGATTGGAGTCCACCTGTGGTCAATTCAATTGATTGGACATGATTTGGAAAGGCACACACCTGTCTATACAGTGAGGGAAAAAAGTATTTGATCCCCTGCTGATTTTGTACATTTGCCCACTGACAAAGAAATGATCAGTCTATAATTTTAATGGTAGGTTTATTTGAACAGTGAGAGACAGAATAACAACAAAAAAATCCAGAAAAATGCATGTCAAAAATGTTATAAATTGATTTGCATTTTAATGAGGGAAATAAGTATTTGACCCCTCTGCAAAACATGACTTAGTACTTGGTGGCAAAACCCTTGTTGGCAATCACAGAAGTCAGACGTTTCTTGTAGTTGGCCACCAGGTTTGCACACATCTCAGGAGGGATTTTGTCCCACTTCTCTTTGCAGATCTTCTCCAAGTCATTAAGGTTTCGAGGCTGACGTTTGGCAACTCGAAACTTCAGCTCCCTCCACAGATTTTCTATGGGATTAAGGTCTGGAGACTGGCTAGGCCACTCCAGGACCTTAATGTGCTTCTTCTTGAGCCACTCCTTTGTTGCCTTGGCCGTGTGTTTTGGGTCATTGTCATGCTGGAATACCCATCCACGACCCATTTTCAATAACCTGGCTGAGGGAAGGAGGTTCTCACCCAAGATTTGACGGTACATGGCCCCGTCCATCGTCCCTTTGATGCGGTGAAGTTGTCCTGTCCCCTTAGCAGAAAAACACCCCCAAAGCATAATGTTTCCACCTCCATGTTTGACGGTGGGGATGGTGTTCTTGGGGTCATAGGCAGCATTCCTCCTCCTCCAAACACGGCGAGTTGAGTTGATGCCAAAGAGCTCGATTTTGGTCTCATCTGACCACAACACTTTCACCCAGTTCTCCTCTGAATCATTCAGATGTTCATTGGCAAACTTCAGACGGGCCTGTATATGTGCTTTCTTGAGCAGGGGGACCTTGCGGGCGCTGCAGGATTTCAGTTCTTCACGGCGTAGTGTGTTACCAATTGTTTTCTTGGTGACTATGGTCCCAGCTGCCTTGAGATCATTGACAAGATCCTCCCGTGTAGTTCTGGCTGATTCCTCACCGTTCTCATGATCATTGCAGCTCCACGAGGTGAGATCTTGCATGGAGCCCCAGGCCGAGGGAGATTGACAGTTCTTTTGTGTTTCTTCCATTTGCGAATAATCGTACCAACTGTTGTCACCTTCTCACCAAGCTGCTTGGCGATGGTCTTGTAGCCCATTCCAGCCTTGTGTAGGTCTACAATCTTGTCCCTGACATCCTTGGAGAGCTCTTTGGTCTTGGCCATGGTGGAGAGTTTGGAATCTGATTGATTGATTGATTGCTTCTGTGGACAGGTGTCTTTTATACAGGTAACAAACTGAGATTAGGAGCACTCCCTTTAAGAGTGTGCTCCTAATCTCAGCTCGTTACCTGTATAAAAGACACCTGGGAGCCAGAAATCTTTCTGATTGAGAGGGGGTCAAATACTTATTTCCCTCATTAAAAATGCAAATCAATTTATAACATTTTTGACATGTGTTTTTCTGGATTTTTTTGTTGTTATTCTGTCTCTCACTGTTCAAATAAACCTACCATTAAAATTATAGACTGATAATTTCTTTGTCAGTGGGCAAACGTACAAAATCAGCAGGGGATCAAATACTTTTTTCCTTCACTGTATAAGGTCCCACAGTTGACAGTGCATGTCAGAGCAAAAACCAAGCCATGAAGTCGAAGGAATTGTCCGTAGAGCTCCGAGACAGGATTATGTCGAGGCACAGATCTGGGGAAGGGTACCAACAAATTTCTGCAGCATAGAAGGTCCCCAAGAACACAGTGGCCTCCATCATTCTTAAATGGAAGAAGTTTGGAACCACCAAGACTCTTCGTAGAGCTGGCCGCCCGGCCACACTGAGCAATCGGGGGAGAAGGGCCTTGGTCAGGGAGGTGACCAAGAACCCGATGGTCACTGACAGAGCTCTAGAGTTCCTCTGTAGAGATGGGAGAACCTTCCAGAAGGACAACCATCTCTGCAGCACTCCACCAATCAGGCCTTTATGGTAGAGTGGCCAGACGGATGCCACTCCTCAGTAAAAAGCACCTGACAGCCAGCATGGAGTTTGCTAAAAGACACCTAAAGACTCTCAGACCATGAGAAACAACATTCTCTAAGGACAATGACCCTAAGCACACAGCCAAGACAACGCAGGAGTGGCTTCGGGACAAGTATCTGAATGTCCCCAAATACAGGTGTGCCAAGCTTGTAGCGTCATACCCAAGAAGTCTCGAGGCTGTAATTGCTGCCAAAGGTGCTTCAACAAAGTACTGAGTAAAGGGTCTGAATAGTTATATAAATGTGACATTTTCTTCTTTTTTTTTAATAAATTACCAAACATTTCAAAAAAACGGTTTTTGCTTTGTCATAGATTGATGAGGGGGAAAAAAAACAATTTAATCAACTTTAGAATAAGGCTGTAACCTAACAAAATTTGGAAAAAGTAAAGGGGTCTGAATACTTTCCGAAGGCACTGTACATGCAGCTTCTCTTCTGTCATTATATGTTGCCCTAGAAGACTAAATAAGCCCTTGCTCACCAGAAGAATGTCATAAAATCGATAGAACGAATGCTTCAATCTAGTTGACAACGTTTTCTCTGTCATCTCTGATTCTTTCGTGGAGCAAAGATGTTTAGGGACCGGGGAGAAAATACATTAACTCCAAAAAACGAAAGATTTTCTGTGCAAAATTTCCAAATGACATCAGTTTGACCGGTTGTAAGGAAATAGAAAGCTGTGAAAACGACCCAACATGTTTCTAATAAGATTTCAGTTCGGCTTGGATGCATATTTTATGTGGTTAAAATACTAATCAGCTTTTATGATACTGATAAAGATATCACCTCTACAGCAGTGGAGGCTGCTGAGGGGAGGATGGCTCATAATAATGGCTGGAACGGAGCAAATGGAATGGCATCAAACACCTGGAAACCATGTGTTTGATGTATTTTATACTATTGCACCAATTCCACTCCAGCCTATACCACGAGCCTGTCCTCCTCAATTAAGGTGCCACCAACATCCTGTGCTCTACAGACTGTATCTAACTGCGCATTCACATTCTCTCAAGATGCTGAAATAAATAAATCATATTTCTCCACTCCTGTTCCCTAGTCCACATTTTTCCTACATTTGGTGTATAATTTTACTGCATGAAATGCTTAATTCTGTTAATATTAAAGGCTATGTAAGAGGTTAAAGACCTACAGTCAGTGTCCAGTTCCCTTGGCGTGCCATAGGTCTATTTGAAGTCTCAGTCTTTCAAATTTGTATAGCGCCTCACAATCATTACACATAACATAGCCGGCACTACTATCATCCTGGTGGTCCTCTGTAGCTCAATTGGTAGAGCATGGCGCTTGTAACGCCAGGGTAGTGTGTTCGATCCCCGGGACCACCCATATGTAAAAATGTATGCACGCATGACTAAGTCGCTTTGGATAAAAGCGTCTGCTAAATGGCATATTATATTATATCCTCTTTTAACACTTCACCAAATCTTTCCCAAACATGACTTTTCTGGCCCTCCCTTCTCTTTATTTTCAACTCTCCATTTCGCAGCTTTTCTCTTAATTAAACTCTGCCTCGGTGGATTGACATTAACTTTTTCTGCCCGTTCGCAAAAGCATTTGCCGATTGGCATGTCTACAGTTAGGCCCGAACGCCTTGATCATACCGACAGCGTCATTGCGCAAAATGTTATGCAGCATCATCTGGATATGTGTGCATCCAAAGTTCAACATTCACCTTCTGCTACCATTTCTGTCAAGCTGTCTACACATACAGTTTGACGCATACGTTCGATAAATCCAACATATGCACCACACAGAACGCACTGCAACTGCCTCTGCAACGCAATGCTGCAAGGCAAACACAGCGTTCCATTGGAAATGAATGTACTTCTGGTGTACCAAAACACAATGACGCTGTCAGTTTGATCGAGGCGTAAAGCTAATGCCAGATAGGTTATTCTTTATTTATTTTAGGCTAAATGTAGCCTATAGATATAAATAAGGAATTGTTTTATCTTTATTCAACCCGCTCGCCCTTCCTCCACACAATATGTAATGACCCTAAACCCACCCGGGCAGCAGATAATGAGTCAACCCGCGCATCACTAATGCACAGGCATGCATACTTACACGCATCACTAATGCACAGGCATGCATACTTACACGCATCACTAATGCACAGGCATGCATACTTACACGCATCACTAATGCACAGGCATGCATACTTACACTCTCCGGAGCGGAAGGTGAGCACACACACCAGTGGTGCGGTGATGAGGTGGAGGCAGTTTAATGGTCTTCTCCAGTTCCTGTCTTCTTTATCAGGATCCACCACTGGAACAGTCAGCAGCAGGAGCACCTCCAGTGGTGTCTGGTGGACAGGGGAGAAACTGCAGCTCAGTAACCACACACTCAAGCACACATTGATGCTCCTGTCCAAACAAAAACACTAGCTCTGTTTACAACCCCTGTCTATTCCCATAACACTTACCCCTAATTTTTACAGATCTGCAAATAGAAAAGTGCAAAGACACAAATTCAGATCTGCAAATAAAAAAACACATACAGTCATGCATGCACACCTTTAGTATTTTGATGGCCCTCCAGCACCAGGTCTTCCTCCTCCATTTCCTTCTGTCCACCGGGTTGAGAGAACTCAACAGGATCGAACTGGTCGATTCACAGTAGGGCAGCAGGGGACAGTACTCACTGTCTATACACGCACAAACACAAACACTTGACTGGATTGATTCTCGTAGCACACCCCAGCGGAATAACTTAGTAGAAAGTACACAGTGATTGTGGTTGTTACCATAGTCCTCCTGGATGCTGCTATTAGATATAAGAATCGCCTCATCATCGGACTCAGACGACTGGAACTCTGCAGACAGATAGACTGTCAGACACACTCACTGTGTGTGTGTCAAATTAAATCAAATGTTATTTGACACATTCTTCATAAACTACAGGTGTAGACTAACCGTGAAATGCTTACTTACGGGCCATTCCCAACAATGCAGAGTGTGTTGTGTTGTGTGTGTGTGTGTTACCTGGTACATGTGTTGAGCTCTGGATGGAACTTCTGGTCACTGAGTGTTTCTGATGACTGTAGATGTAGGCACTCACGATGACTGTTATCACATACACCACATACAGCCCCAGGTACCCTACAGAGAGAAACAAACACGTGATTCTTATTTCACCCCATTCACCCCAGTGTAAACAGTCCTAACTTCTGAAGTTCACTGAACACTGTGTCTATGTCTGTAATATATTGACTGGGTTCAAGCTTGAGGGACACAGAGGCATGACTGATGGATGAGCCTGAAATAGAGAGAGGTCTGGTGTTGTGTAGCTCCCAGGGTAATGTTGACTCCTACAACCAAGAAGTCTAACCCAACTCTGTGTGTGTGTGTGTGTGTGTGTGTGTGTGTGTGTGTGTGTGTGTGTGTGTGTGTGTGTGTGTGTGTGTGTGCGTGTACCCAGTGTCTCGCCCAGTGATATAGTTCCTCTGTAGAGGATGACGAAGGTCCAGAAGACAGCGGCCATGTAGAAGATGACATCACGCAGGAAGGGGCGGGTCGCCACAGTGAAGGGCTTGACCAATGACACAGCCCCGGCAACCACAGTGGTTACGAAGATACCTGCTCCTATTGACGGAGGGTGAGAAGGATTAAAGGTCTACTCTAAATTAACAGTGCTTCTATAGCAAGGTGTTGTGTGTGTGTGTGTACGTACCAAACAGTGCTCCTATAGCCAGGCCAGCAGTGTGTGGATGGGAGAAGGCCACAGTGGCACTGAAGACATCTGGGGCTCCGTTACCTAGCGCCAGGAACGTCACACCCTGACACACACTGTTAGGGAAAACACTTCTGGTGCTAGAGTAGAGTTTGTTTGTGAATGTGTTTGTGTGTGTGTGTGTGTGAGACGAGGTGATAATTTAAGCAGATTTAAAGAAAACTTCATGAAAATATGTTAAATGCGATACAGTGTGTGTGTGCGTGTGTCCTGTAGAGGGATACAGCCACGTTGTGTGTGAGTCGAAGGGTGGAGGAGATGGCCGAGAGGTTGGGACAGAAGCTGAATATAGAAAAAACATAGATGCACCTTTAGTCAATCAATAGCTAACCTAGAACCCCCCACCCTCCAACATGCACAGAGTCCAAACACTGTCCAAATTACTGTGCAGTTAACTTTAAACCAAACAGTGCTCTGTTCACTGCTAGTCAGCTTCTGCTTTCACTTTTCAAATACACGCAGTTGTAACCACAGTCTGGAGGACATTTGCTTTGTCTGTGATACATGTGATCAGTCACATATTCAAATCACAAACATTAAAGTAAGTGTCATCTCCATGAGAGGAAACCTTAATCATGACACACTCATCTCCGGCGGTCAAGTGACTAGGCCCATCCCACTGGGCACAGACGTCAATTCAACGTCTATTCCACGTTGGTTCAACGTAATTTAATTGAAATTACATGGAAACAACGTTAATTCAACCAGTGTGTGCCCAGTGGGATGTGACCATATCAACTGCTGGAGATAACGCTGTTGTAACTCTGCAGTCAACGGAACACAACCACAAACACCTATCTCTTTACAGCCAGCGTACAGAGAGAGAGATAGAGACTGTTACGAAACTCATGTTTCCCAGTCTTATACAGAGTCTGTAAACTTAACCTACAGGCAGTAAATATATTATAAGTGAAAGACATCATGAGTGAAACTTACAACTTTGACGCAGTCAGTCCCAGAACTATGAACAAGAACAACAACCAGATCATCTGTAGAGAGAGGAGAGGGATAGAGATGAAAGATGAGTTTTCTGACATGGCCAAACCGTCAATGTTTAACATATTAAATAACTTTTATCTCAATGGGCAGGTGTCGCGTCTCTTCTTCCCCACAAATAACTAGTGTAGCCTTTACTACTAGGCCTATGAACTACAGCCTGGGCCTATGGGGTGGTTGGACACCCTGAGGAGAAATCCTCAGTTAAACCCTGATTTCATGACTCAGTGTTTTACTGCATGGCTGAGTTAAAGCTGATCTAGCTTTATTAGAGGAAGTTCTACTCAGAACAAAGGGAAGTAACAGTTACTAGCTTCTATTGAGGTTGCTTCAGCTTCCTTATTTCAATGCATTTACCGTAAGTCATTCTGGGTAGTAAGAGCACCTGCTAATGACAAAAATGAGTATTCCTGTAATAATGCATGTAATAATGTTCTGAGGCGTGCACACGCTTACACAGAATGTGATGGTGAGGGGTGTGAGGTTGGGTGGTAGTAGACAGAAGACCATCTTGAGGTAGTTGATGAAGCTGTCTTCCATACTGCAGTCTGGGGTGGTCTTCACAAACGCACAGCGATCAGCAGCACTCAGGTTCATCACTACAGCACACTGAAAGACACACGCATGCACACACACACACTTAATCAATACATCACACTGGAGGACAGAGAAGCTTTCAAATAACTAATGGTTAAATCTCAATACTGGCAACCATCATCTCTCACACTGAGCTCAACACAGATGGGTTAGCTGAGAACCTAATGAAAACGATGCAGCGCTTCAATGGGGCAGAAGGCCTAGTGTTGTTGTGAATTCTAGATGGTCAGATACAGTAGCTTGCAACAATGACAAGACACTGCAATGTGGGGAATCATAAGTGGCTTGTTTCAGCTAGTTTTATATTGTTTTGAGGTGTTTTGACTGATGTCATGTCTATGCTAAAATGGCAAAAATTCACTAGCTAGCTAACTAACTGTAATGATATATTTGAGAGACAAGTGCTCATTGTGCAACTTTATTAATGTTTTCAATAAACATTGGAGATGTTTACATAATGTTTACAACATGTTTACATGTTGTCAACAATCTAAGCCAACCCCGTCTGTTTTGCCCCTAGCTGCGCACGCGTCGTTTTGTTGCTAAACAACCAACCCCTCAGTGGAGGTGTCATAATACCCATAAAACCTGGCGGTCAAACAATCGTTTTTCCACCATTAATTTTTCCTATAGGGAATTTTAGAAACATTTCAAATAAGGGTTGTGTTTTGTGTAGGCTTACACTGGCATTACGTTTTGATAACCATGTAAATCTCCATGCAAGCTCCTGCACGTCATCTCTAGCTGATACCTTTGCTAACAGGTATTGTGTCAATTTAAAACTTGCACATGACAGTTCACAGAAATTGTCAATTTAAAGAAATGTAGCCAATTTATTCATTACTAAATTTAACTAACATAAGATAGTTCATCCAGAGATTTTACCTTTGCCGCGATTCGGCAGTCTCGTCCAGATCATCATGGTATTTGTAGTTCTTTATGATAGCCACATTAGCAGCTAATTAGCATTTCATTTTGGGGGGGTAAATTCAGGCGAATATATTGATAAATCACCTTGTCCTAGAGAGATTTACACGGTTATCAAAACGTCATGCCAGGGTAAGCCTACACGAAACACAGCCCTTATTTTAAGTGTTTCTAACATCCCCTATGGGAAAAATGAATGGTGGAAAAAACAATTGGAACCATTTCCTTGTTTGACTGCTAGGTTTTATGGGTATTATGACTCATACTGTGGTACTCTATTGTGCAGGTGAAAACAATATAGGTGGATTTACTTTGTTCAGATAAAGAAAAGGGGCGAGCTATTCTAGATTATTGAGATGCACTCAAAATGTCAATTTAAAAAAGAAAGTTTGCTCATATACACCAATCACGATCAAGTGAGTTATGCTACTTGGAAGAGTAGCTGAGGAACGTTGAACTCAGTTCTCTTAAATCAAGGCAGAATTGAGTATTGATAACTGGTTGCGAGATTTGCTAGGAACAACATTGAATCATAATCAGTCAATAATTCTGAAAACACTTACCTGTACCTACGTTTGTCCTGTGCAACTGCGGAAATTCATACTTTTAATAAAAACTTGTATCGACTACAACCACCGACTTCTTCATTTGTTGCTCAACGCAAACGAGTTTGTGCCAATTTGATCTCCGTTTACGTAGTATGTCAAGGCCGCTATGTCTCCAGTTGAGCAACACAAATAAGGAAAAGGTCGGTGGTTGTATTCGATAAAAGTTTTTATTAAAAGTATGAATTTCAGCACCCCCCAGAAGGACCGCAGTTGTACAGGACAAACATAGGTACAGGTAAGCGTTTTCAGAATTGACATTTTTACAAGTATCAATTGATGGTGACTCAATGTTGTTGCTAGCAAATCGCGCCTCCAGTTATCAATACTCAACTCCGCCTGTATATAAGAGAACGGAGTAGAGCGTTCCTCAGCTACTTGAAGAGTTGCCCAGTTCGGTAGTTAGCCTATTGCACAACATCACCAAATATGGCTAATCAAATCAACATGATTTTGTCAGAAGAAGAGACATTTCAAGGGGCACTTGTCAGAGAAAACTGAGTTACAAAGACTGAGACTTATGGTTGAAATCTAATTAGATAAACTATATATACAAAATAATGTGGACACCCCTTCAAATTAGTAGATTCGGCTATTTCAGCCACACCCGTTGCTGACAGATGTATAAAATCGAGCACACAGCCATGCAATCTCCATAGACAAACATTGGCAGTAGAATGGCCTTACTGAAGAGCTCAGTGACTTTCAATGTGGCACTGTCATAGGATGCCACCTTTCCAACAAGTCAGTTCATGAAATTTCTGCCCTGCTAGAGCTGCCCCGGTCAACTGTAAGTGCTGTTATTGTGAAGTGGAAACGTCTAGGAGCAACAACGGCTCAGCAGCGAAGTGGTAGCACACAAGCTCACAGAACGAGACCGCTGAAGTGCATAGCCTGTAAAAAATAATATATCCTAGGTTGCAACACTCACTACCGAGTTCCAAACTGCATCTGGAAGCAACGTCAGCACAATAACCGTTCGTCGGGAGCTTCATGAAATGGGTTTCCATGGTCGAGCAGCCCACATAAGCCTAAGATCACCGTGCGCAATGCCAAATGTCGGCTGGAGTGGTGTAAAGCTCGCTGCCATTGGACTCTGGAGCAGTGGAAACGCGTTCTCTGGAGTGATGAATCACGCTTCACCATCTGGCAGTCCGACGGACGAATCTGGGTTTTGGCGGATGCCAGGAGAAAGCTACCTGCCCCAATGCATAGTGCAAACTGTAAAGTTTAGTGGAGGACGAATAATGGTCTGTGGCTGTTTTTCATGGTTTGGGCTAGGCCCCTTAGTTCCAGTGAAGGGAAATCTTAACGCTACAGCATACAATGACATTCTAGACGACTCTGATCTTCCAACTTTGTGGCAACAGTTTGGGAAGGCCCTTTCCTGTTTCAGGAAAGGGCCTTCATCGCCCAACATCAGTGCCTGACCTCACTAATGCTCTTGTCGCTGAATGGAAGCAAGTACCTGCAGCAATGTTCAAACATCTAGTGGAAAGCCCTCCCAGAAGAGTGGAGGCTGTTATAGCAGCAAAGGGGGGAGCAACTCCATATTTGGTCATGTAGTGTATCTCACTAACCTGGTCTGTGTTTCCCTGATGTAACATCGCGAAGTGCGTGCCCACCATGGTACCCACGGACGAGCGCAGGTCAGCACCGTCGGCGGATCGGTCTGGAGACGGAACTACAGCCGTACCAGACTCACCGGAGCCCAACCCATGACTACATTGAAAACACAACAGCAGCAACAGGGAGATAAAAACAACCCGAGATTTCATAATTTATTCCGTTTAAGGAGTGCGTCCATTCCGAGACTGGGTGAGTTCAGATCAGACCTGAGAATAGAATACTGGAGAAGAACTGAAAGTGTCCCTTATTGCTGTAAACTAAATGTTGCAATGAAAGGTTGAAGGCTGGCTGATCAGCAAGAATTAACAGCTTGACCAACCCTTTGTTACAGCCACCTCTTTATTCTGTACTCATTACAAATAGACGCGCAAAGCTCTTTTTCTACTAGTTGTTGACACCATTTCTGTTTTAGTGTTCAGAAATGTCCGTGTACAAAAACATCTGACTCGCAGACTCTCCTCCAAGGCTACGTCATCAGTGTTACTTCCTTAAAATACGTGACGTCCACACTTAAACCCATCCCACAATTTTAATGAGGACCAGGCAGACTCCGTGTGTGTGTTTGTATTTATTATGGATCCCCATTAGCTGCTGCCAAGGCAGCTCCTCTTTCTGGGGTCCAGCAAAATTAAGGCAGTTATACCATTTAAAAAACATTACAAAACATTCACAACAGATTTCACAACACATTAAGTGTGTTCCCTCAGGCCACTACTCTACTACCACATTTCTACAACACAAAATCCATGTGTACTGTGTGTATAGTGTGTATGTTATCCTGTGTGTGTATGCATGTGTCTGTGCCTCTTCACAGTTCCCGCTGTTCCATCAGGTGTATTGTTATCTGTTTTTTAAATCTAATTATACTGCTTGCATGAGTTACTTGATGTGGAATAGAGTTCAATGTAGTCATGGCTCTATGTAGTACTGTGCGCCTCCCATAGTCTGTTCTGGACTTGGGGACTGTGAAGAGACCTCTGGTGGCATGTCTTGTGGGGTATGTGTGTGTGTGTGTGTTCACTGTCGGATGGCGACCCACTGACAGCTGCAGTCTCAGATCAAACAGAAATCAGTCTGGGTGGTGAGTGAGTGATTTCCATCAGAAAGTCTTTATTCTTCCACAGGTCAGGACATAGCATGCACTCATACATAATAGGCTAATCACAAAGTACCCCTTCTTACATAAGCTACATCTCCTTGAGAACGCTAATATTGCCTGCCTCCAGCCTACCCCACACCCCCTCAGTCTCTGGTTGACTCGTTATAGACCAGCGCAGCATCCAGGGGCGGAGTCTCTGTGTTGTAGCATCCTATGGCCGCCTTACTGAACACTGGGCACAAGTCCTGCTCACACCACCTGTAACACAGACACAGTCACAAATACACACACACAGTTACTGCTAGAACTATTAGCCTACAAGTAGTAAGGGCAGGGCTCTCCAACCCTGTTCCTGGAGAGCTACAGTCCTGTAGGTTTTCACTCCAACCCTAATCTAACACACCTGATTCTAATAATTAGCTGGAGTGAAAACCTAGAGGAGGGTAGCTCTCCAGGAACAGGGTTGGAGAGCTCTGGACTAGGGACTAGTGAGAACTAGTAGTGGGGACGGATATGTGTGTTTACCGGACAGCAGCATAGGCATCAGAGTGAGAGGCTCCCTCCCATGAGGCATGGTCAATGAGCAGAGCACCTGAAACACACACACAGATGGGGTCACAATACATCCTCAGGGCAAGCCAACTCTGGCAATGGTTAACTGAGAAAGGTGATGGGCTATACAGTAAGTGCTACTCCTGTTATGCCAATGTTCAGTTAAAAATCAAATTGTATTTTTCCCATGCGCCAAATACAATGGGTGTAAACTTTACAGGGAAATGCTTGCTTACGAGCCCTTCCCAACGATGCAGTGTAAAAAAAATCATAATAAAAAGTGTGTATAGTACCCATATAAATGCGTGCCAGACTGTATGCCAGGTCTCGTGCTGCCAGCTCCACATAGCCAGGTGGTTTGAGAGCAGCGGCCTGCAGGAACTCTCTCAGACCAGAGAGGGCACTGTCTACTGATCTCACAGCCACAGACAGGGAGGGGAGGGAGGCTGCTGCTAGTAGAGACTGGGGGAGGAGCGGGAGGGAGAGATGCAGATAGAGGGAGAAAGTCAGAATTTGTATAGCAATCAACAGAGATTGTAGTTTTTTTTCTTCATTTTATTAATAGTAACAGTCTTTCATGCCTGCCATTCCTTTTTAGTTCAAGTAGGATAATGCTAGATAAAGGCTGCGGAAACTAACTAAATATCCCAAATATAATCTTGACTGTCTAAGTCCATCAACAACAACTAAGCTCAATAAAAAAAAATATATATCCTTTAGCATTTTGGATGACAAAAATATAAATGCAACTTGCAACAATTTCAAAGATGTTACTGAGTTACAGTTCATATAAGGAAATCAGTGAATTTAAATAAAGAAATTAGGCCCTAATCTATGGATTTCATATGACTGGGAATACAGATATGCATCTGTTGGTCACAGATACCTTAAAAAAAAGGTATGGGCGTGGATCAGAAAACCAGTCAGTCAGCCAGTGGCCATCGAAGGTGAGCATTTGCCCACTGAAGTCGGTTACAACGCTGAACTGCAGTCAGGTCAAGACCCTGGTGAGGACAACGAGCACGCAGATGAGCTTCCCTCAGACGGTTTCTGACAGTTTGTGCAGAAATTATTCGGTTGTGCAAACCCACAGTTTCATCAGCTGTCCGGGTGGCTGCTCTCAGACGATCCCGCAAGTGAAGAAGCTGGATGTGGAGGTCCTGGGCTGGCGTGGTTACACGTGGTCTGCGGTTGTGAGGCCGATTGGACGTACTGCCAAATTCTCTCATAAAGTTGGAGGACATTCCTGTAGTCAGCATGCCAATTGCACACTCCTTCAAAACTTGAGACATCTGTGGCATTGTGTTGTGTGACAAAACTGCACATTTTAGAGTGGCCTTTTACTGTCCCAAGCACAAGCTTCTTGATATGCCACACCTGTCAGGTGGATGAATTATCTTGGCAAAGGAGAAATGCTCACTAACAGGGATGTAAACAACATTTTTGGGAAATAAGCTTTTTGTGACTATGGAACATTTCTCTGATCTTTTATTTCAGCTCATGAAACATGGGACCAACACTTTACATGTTGCGTTTATATTTATGTTCAGTGTAATTAGCATAATAAAAAAATCCCCATAAAAATCTGTCAGTTTAAGCTAGATATATCTGTTATTTTTGCATTGGATGTGTCTCAATCCACTGCATCCGCCGATGTCGTACTTCCGCATCTGCGGTGAAAGGTGACAGAGCTAGAGCAGTGTTTGTCAGACCATGAGACATCCCAAAAATCATTGTTCTCACAAAATCGTCTGTAGTGTCCGAACAGTTTGGGCTACACACTAACATGTCGGTTGTTTTGCTCTAGGACGCCCACAGGCCTGAATGTCCCCGGTACCAGTTGAAAACATTTATGGAAGTATATATGGAGACTGTTTAGCGCAAAAAATAAGGGGTTAAATACATGTAAAAAAAAAAAAAAAAAAAAAAACATGTTTCCTGATCTTTCCTATATCGCTTAGATATAGGACAGACACTTCAGAACAAACTTCCTTTTGATATTTTTTGGGACTAACAGTTGTTCCATGTAGTGAATCTGTTATTCAATGCGTTTGTATGGGCCAATAGCAGTAAGGCCAAATAAAAATGTTCATCATATAATAATTACTATTATTTTTTTATACTTCAAGGGGTCTTAAAATTCAAAATCAAATAGCTAAATGATCCTTGGTATGACCTTCTTAAAACAATTCCATATACCTTAGTAGAATCCCCCCCACTCCCCCTTCCCCGGCTTAGACAAGGCTTAGTCTGTAGAGGGTTAAGGGACCCTGACCTGAGTGTGTGTGAAGTAGGCCTGCAGTACGAGGCCTGAGCTCCGAGAGACGCAGCGCAGAACATCCAGAGACAGAACATTAGTGGTCCCCTCCCAGATACTCAACACCTAGAGAGAGAGAGAGAGAGAGAGAGAGAGAGAGAGAGAGAGAGAGAGAGATAGAGAGAAGAGGTACTGTCAGGGCCGGATTACCGAATGGGAACGAAGTGCACGTGCCCTGGGCAGGGCTCTAAAATGAGCACTGTGCGACTAAGAAAAAGATATCCCAGAAAATAATTGTTTTAATGATAAGGCTACGCTGTACCGTTGTTTCCGAGTGCCCTAGAGAAAAAAGCGAGTGCAGATTTGATAGTGTCATGGTTGCACCATTACGACAGCGAAAACGGCTTGCTCGTCGCCCAACCAGGTATAAAAGATCTGACCTATATTACCCGGATCACCGGGACTGCATTTTACATTCATAAACCATGTTGTGGGCCGTTCTAAAACGACTCTCGCGTGGTTAACCATTTGTTTACACTTTGTTGAGTCATGTTACCTCATTGTCTAGCTAGCTAACAACCTGGTATCTTTACCAGTATATCCAAACATTCTGGGGCACAGAAAGAAAGGGAAAGGGATAGCTTCTTCAGGAGATCAATGACCATAGCAATGAATGAATGACAGATCTCTAGCATGTCATCATCACAAACCTGACTTTTTTAAAGAGACAGTGTTTTCTATGCAATGCATCTCAATAGGAAAAAATTGCGCATTTACACAATGTAGAAACATAATATTCTACAAATGACTTTTGTAATTTCAATGACAGGTATTCAAATCAAATGTATTTGCCACATGTGCCTAATACAACAGGTGTAGATCTTACAGTGAAATGCTTACTTACAAACCCTTAACCAACAATGCAGTTTTTAAGAACATTTAAGTGTTAAGTAAAAAATTGCAAATAATTAAAGAGCAGCAGTAAAATAAAATAACAGTAGGGAGGCTATATACAGGGGGTAGCGGTACAGAGACAATGTGCGGGGGCACCGGTTAGTCGAGGTAATTGAGGTAATATGTACATATGGGTAGAGTTAAAGTGACTATGCATAGATGATAAACAGAGTAGCAACAGCGTAAAAGAGGGGGTTGGGGTGGGGGGGGCAATGCAAATAGCCCGGGTAGCCATGATTAGCTGTTCAGGAGTCTTATGGCTTGGGGGTAGAAGCTGTTAAGAAGCCTTTTGGACCTAGACTTGGCGCTCCGTATGATTAGCTGTTCAGGAGTCTTATGGCTTGGGGGTAGAAGCTGTTAAGAAGCCTTTTGGACCTAGACTTGGCGCTCCGTATGATTAGCTGTTCAGGAGTCTTATGGCTTGGGGGTAGAAGCTGTTAAGAAGCCTTTTGGACCTAGACTTGGCGCTTCGTATCAACATCTTAGCTTAACTAATGTCTTTACAGTGTTACATATTCGTTTCTTGGGCGCAACATGTGCTTCAAAAGTAAGTCGAATTCATATAAGCCCAATATAGGCTGTATCTCAAAAAAAAAATTACAATCGTATTTTCTGGTGCTCATAAATTTCATGTGGTGAGCACCAATTGGGGGGCACCAGTGCTACCAATGAAACATTTTAATTTAGAGCTCTGGCCCCAAGGCCCCCGACCTCTATGGGGCCCCCAACCAAAAATATATTTTTTTGGGGGGTTGGGGCCCCCCAGATAGCATATGATAGAAAAATGTGTAGAATTGTAGGAAATTCGCTTTAAAACTGCACACTTTTCTCTCAGCCTCATAGCACAATGTGAACAATAGCATGAGATGAGCTTTAAAACAGCAATTTTTTTCTCTCTGACCCATGGCAAAATGTGTAGAACTGCAGGAAATTTGCTTTAAACCGGCAACATTTTTCACCCCGGAGGTCGGGCCCCAAATGTGGTAGTCCGACCATGGGTACAATTTGTAAGTCGCTCTGGATAAGAGCGTCTGCTAAATGACATAAATGTAAATGTAAATGTACTGTTACACTAAAATTAACTATTGCCACTCAATTGTTGTTGTTGAGTAACAGACTGAAAGTAACAAACTACTTCATCCATTAACAGCAACATAATTTTACTCCATTACGTAACACAAAGTAAGTCTGCCTTCAGAGAGACAGATGTGCATCATGTGACTACCTACCTGAGCATCTCTAAGCATTGCAGGTAATCCCGTGTCCTCTATGTAGCCCTGCCCCCCGAAACTCTCCAGCCCTTCGGAAATCACGGCAACTGCCTAAGACACACAGGGATAACACACACACACACACTACATCACCTCACACACATCTCTACTGCCTTTATACAATGACTAAAATTATTAAATACACACCCCAGTCTTTCACTGCCATCTGCCAGTATTATCCAATGTCTATGTTCTGTTTTCTGGTGTAATGTGATTGGTTACCTGTTTGTCAACAAAAACAGAGTGTGTGTGTGTACCTGTTTGCCAGTGTAGAGTTTGGCCACTGGTGTGAGCAGACGAAGGAGGTGAATCTCCAGCTGGGAGGCGTGGCCTGTCTCCTCTCTGCCAATCAGACGACAGACCTCCATCACCAGCAGGAACGCTCCTCGAGTCTCCACCTATAGGAGGAAGGCATTGAGGGGAGGGGGGAAGAAGAGAAAAAGAGAGCCGAGGTGTGTGAAGACAAGGTGAAGACAAGTAGTAGGTTTAGGGGTTATAGTAGGGTATTCTATTTTACAACTTTATTTTCAGCTGACCTCCATCCTAGCGAGGGTCTGCATGTGAAGGGGGTGGTCTCTCAGGAGCTTCCCAAAGGCAGAGCGACGTGTGGCGTAGTCACGAGCCAGCTGGAGTACCCTGCACACACACACACACCCACCATCAATACACACCCTTGACCGTCAGTACGGCAGTGGGTAGTAGTGAATAGATACCTCCTCATACCAGCCACAGCAGACACGCTGTTATGGATACGAGTCACAGTCAGCATGTTGGCTATACACGCCACACCTCTACCCTCTTCTGACAGCTGAGAAAGAAGGGAGGAATGTTAGTGTGTGTGTGTGTGTGTCAGTGTGTGTGTGTGTGAGTGAATCTGACCCTGTGTGCAGGCAGGCCGTCCAGCAGCAGCTCAGCAGTGGGCATCTGTCTGGTTCCCAGTTTGTCCTTCAGTCTTTGGACCTCGATGCCCTGAACCATCCCCTTCTCATCACGCACTGCAGCATAGAACATAGACAGACCTCTACTGCCCTGAGACACACACACACACACACACACACACCAGTTAGAAGGAGGACGATAGACATGGGGAGGGGGGGGTCAGGAGTAAGGGGTAAAGAATTAAGAAGATGAGGGCTGATGAACATTGAATGGTACCGATGTGGTCTGTCCGTCTCCGTCTGTGACTCTGGCCAGTGTGAGAGTCATGTCTGCATCTGTAGCCGAGGTGAACCACTTGAAACCTGACAGTCTGTATGTACCATCACTCTGCAGCAACGCTACGGTCTCTGTACCATTGCCTAGACACACACACGTGCACACACAAACACACACAAATATGATTATCATCAGTAGGCATGTAACCTATCATCATCTCCTACAGTGTATGTAACCAACCAGAGAGAATACAGACACACTGACCTACATCAGATCCTCCCCTGCGTTCAGTCATCCACTGTCCAGACGTCCAGAAGTGCTCAGGGTCACGAGAGGTCAGGCGGCTGAAGGCCTCCGCTACTGGCCAAGACACACCCAGAGACTACGCATGCACACACATAGAGACAAGCTTATGAATCACAATATCACAAGTTGTAGTGATTGTGTGTGTGTGTGTGTGTGTGTATGTAACACAAATCAATAACATCACCAATTCCAACACACACACACCTGTATAACCTTGGCAGCTCCATCAGTCATAGCCAGAGGACAGGTGTAGAGGCCAGAGGAGGGAGAGTACAGATACAGCTTACACATCTGGTACACACGACTGGAACACATACACACTTTATATTAGTACTATATTTAACCTTAGTTGACACATACTATTGGTGTATGAATATGTAAGTCTATGCATGAAATTCTAATAATGCCAAGTCACAAAATGCCAATGAGATTACTGTCACTCATTATGTTTTTATGTTCACTGTGTGTTTGTCAGGTGAGCGTATATGTGTTAGGGTTTAGCTAAGGATTCAGTGTGTATGGGTCAGGTTTGTGTGTCTACCACCTCCACTCCCCGTAGGTCCTCTCGTATCCGATGGCAACCAGCCCCTCCTGTGCTGATAGGTCCTTCATGCATTGCCAGGCAGGGGATGTGACGATGCGGTCAACACGGCAACCCCAGGGGTCATAGGTCACCAACCGAGGGGGTGTGACCTCACACTCCCGACCCCACCCATCCACCTCACGCACCAACCGCTCCCCAAAGACACGCAGGTCGGAATACACTGCCTGGGAACACACACACCACCATCATCATCATTATCAGTGACTAACAGATAAAGCATCATCATCATAGTTTCAATCCATTCTGAAACATTATGGCATACACAGTACACACACACCTCACTGGGCAGGTGTCTCCTCAGGTATCCCTGTAGCAGAGCGTCCTCCAGGAAGGGGTTCTTTAGCACCGGCCTCTCCTGGAAGAACCCTCCGATCCCGGCCCGGGAGAACTCTGCCTGCCCCTCTGCTCCGGGGGCATCTTGGGGAGGCCGAACCAGGCTCTTCTGAACCACACTCACAGAACTGCTGCGTGACAGCGACCGATACAATCCGGTACACACCCGGTAACCGTGTCTGGTGACCTGTCGGTTCGCAGCCATCATTCAGGAGCTCAGACCTAAGGCCACTGGCCTGAATATGATACAAAGTAAACGGATTTATTCAAAACAGCAGCTGCATTTCTTTAGTTACATTTAAAAGCCTACTCCTTGATTTGAAAAATAACAAAACAGACCCGCCACTTGGTTTTCTATAAAGCTAGCTAGAGAAACCACTCTCAACTTCATAGATGGATCTATACAAGGATTGACATTATAAGTGATATTCACCAAGAATCAATTGATTTTTTATATATATAATTATATGTAATTAATTTAAATGATCATAAATGGCTGTAAATAGCAGTGGGCCTTTAAGAAATCTTACGGATTTGCAGTAGGAAATCTTATGGACTGCAGTTTTAATAATAGCCTACAAAAACGAATTAATTAAATTAACAGTCAACGCCATGTGTAGTCAAACATAATTTCAACATTTAGTGTAGTAATTCGAATAAAACAAACACTAAAAAAATCATTATGCAATACCAACGTTCGTGATCAGCTTGTGATTCAAAAGTGTGTCAAAGTTCATGCACTGTAGCGACAGAGCAATCTCTATGCTGCACGGTAGTCTACCACTGGTTGTCAAACGTTTACAAAATATTTGGTTTGAAAAGCTTGAAAGAAAACGAATAAATACGCCTTACTTAACAACTTCTGTAACTTTGTTTTGTTTACACACGGACTCACGTAGTTCAGACTTCCCCTCTTACTTTCCTTCAAAATAAAAGTCAGGATCAACCTCTGGTTTCGTTATAAAAGTCTATATCAAACTTCAAAATAAAAGTCTGAAACATCAGACCAGACAGCTGCTTTTCAGAAGATACACATAGCTTCTACAATGAAATAACAGTGGCAACCCTATAGTAAAGATCTAGAACGCTCAGTTGAAAAACATCATTCAGTGCAATACAAAGAATAACCAATAACCATGCATGTGTGACCAACTCAGTAGCCTTGTGGTTAGTGTCCACCCTGAGATTGGAAGGTTGTGAGTTTGATCCCCGGCCGAGTCATACCAAAGACTGTTAAAATGGGACCTGATGCGTCTCTGCTTGGCACTCAGCATTAAAGAGATACAGGCCCTGTGATAGACTAGTGTCCAGGGGGTGTACTTGTACATCAAGCTGCCTTACGCTATAGGAACGGGAGATAGGCTCCTGCCCTATGAACTTACTACAGTGAGGGAAAAAAGTATTTGATCCCCTGCTGATTTTGTACGTTTGCCCACTGACAAAGACATGATCAGTCTATACTTTTAATGGTAGGTTTATTTGAACAGTGAGAGACAGAATAACAACAAAAAAATCCAGAAAAACACATGTCAAAAATGTTATAAATTGATTTGCATTTTAATGAGGGAAATAAGTATTTCACCCCTCTGCAAAACATGACTTAGTACTTGGTGGCAAAACCCTTGTTGGCAATCACAGAGGTCAGACGTTTCTTGTAGTTGGCCACCAGGTTTGCACACATCTCAGGAGGGATTTTGTTCCACTCCTCTTTGCAGATCTTCTCCAAGTCATTAAGGTTTCGAGGCTGGCGTTTGGCAACTCCACAGATTTTCTGGCTAGACCACTCCAGGACCTTAATGTGCTTCTTCTTGAGTCACTCCTTTGTTGCCTTGGCCGTGTGTTTTGGGTCATTGTCATGCTGGAATACCCATCCACGACCCATTTTCAATGCCCTGGCTGAGGGAAGGAGGTTCTCACCCAAGATTTGACGGTACATGGCCCGTCCATCGTCCCTTTGATGCAGTGAAGTTGTCCTGTCCCCTTAGCAGAAAAACACCCCCAAAGCATAATAGCTTCTACAATGAAATAACAGTGGCAACCCTATAGTTCTCCTCCTCCAAACACGGCGAGTTGAGTTGATGCCAAAGAGCTCCATTTTGGTCTCATCTGACCACAACACTTTCACCCAGTTCTCATCTGAATCATTCAGATGTTCATTGGCAAACTTCAGACGGGCCTGTATATGTGATTTCTTGAGCAGGGGGACCTTGCGGGCGCTGCAGGATTTCAGTCCTTCACGGCATAGTGTGTTACCAATTGTTTTCTTGGTGACTATGGTCCCAGCTGCCTTGAGATAATTGACAAGATCCTCCCGTGTAGTTCTGGGCTGATTCCTCACTGTTCTCATGATCATTGCAACTCCACGAGGTGAGATCTTGCATGGAGCCCCAGGCCGAGGGAGATTGACAGTTATTTTGTGTTTCTTCCATTTTTTCGAATAATCGTACCAACTGTTGTCACCTTCTCACCAAGCTGCTTGGCGATGGTCTTGTAGCCCATTCCAGCCTTGTGTAGGTCTACAATCTTGTCCCTGACATCCTTGGAGAGCTCTTTGGTCTTGGCCATGGTGGAGAGTTTGGAATCTGATTGATTGATTGCTTCTGTGGACAGGTGTCTTTTATACAGGTAACAAGGTGAGATTAGGAGCACTCCCTTTAAGAGTGTGCTCCTAATCTCAGCTCGTTACCTGTATAAAAGACATGTGGGAGCCAGAAATCTTTCGGATTGAGGGGGGGTCAAATACTTATTTTCCTCATTAAAATGCAAATCAATTTATAACATTTTTGACATGCGTTTTTCTGGATTTTTTTGTTGTTATTCTGTCTCTCACTGTTCAAATAAACCTACCATTAAAATTATAGACTGATCATTTCTTTGTCAGTGGGCAAACGTACAAAATCAGCAGGGGATCAAATACTTTTTTCCCCTCACTGTATGCATGTGTGGTACAGTATGTTGAATTCTGTGTGGTGTTTGTAGTAGATAGATGCAGCAGATGCAGCGCTCCTAGTAGCCGGGGACTTTAATGCAGGGAAACTTAAATCCGTTCTACCTAATTTCTACCAGCATGTTAAATGTGCAACCAGAGGGAAAAAAACTCTAGACCACCTTTACTCCACACACAGAGACGCATACAAAGCTCTCCCTCGCCCTCCATTTGGCAAATCTGACCATAACTCTATCCTCCTGATTCCTGCTTATAAGCAAAAACTGAAGCAGGAAGCACCAGTGATTCGGTTAATAAAAAAGTGGTCAGATGACGCAGATGCTAAGCTACAGGACTGTTTTGCTAGCACAGACTGGAACATGTTCCGGGATTCTTCAGACAGCATTGAGGAGTACACCACATCAGTCACTGGCTTCATCAATAAGTGCATCGATGATGTCGTCCCCACAGTGACCGTACGTACATACCCCAACCAGAAGCCATGGATTACAGGAAACATCCGCACTGAGCTAAAGGGTAGAGCTGCCGCTTTCAAGGAACGGGACTCTAACCCGGACGCTTATAAGAAATCCCGCTATGACCTCCGACGAACCATCAAACAGGCAAAGAGTCAATACAGGTCTAAGATTGAATCATACTACACTGGCTCTGACGCTCGTCGGATGTGGCAGGGCTTGAAAACTATTACAGACTACAAAGGGAAGCACAGCCGCGAGCTGCCCAGTGACACAAGCCTACCAGACGAGCTAAACCACTTCTATGCTCGCTTCGAGGCAAGCAACACTGAAGCATGCATGAGAGCACCAGCTGTTCCGGACGACTATGTGATCACGCTCTCCGTAGCCGATGTGAGTAAGACTTTTAAGCAGGTCAACATTCACAAGGCCGCAGGGCCAGACGGATTACCAGGACGTGTACTCCGAGCATGTGCTGACCAACTGGCAAGTGTCTTCACTGACATTTTCAACATGTCCCTGACTGAGTCTGTAATACCAACATGTTTCAAGCAGACCACCATAGTCCCCGTGCCCAAGAACTCTAAGATAACCTGCCTAAATGACTACCGACCCGTAGCACTGACGTCTGTAGCCATGAAGTGCTTTGAAAGACTGGTCATGGCTCACATCAACAGCATAATCCCAGAAACCCTAGACCCACTCCAATTTGCATACCGCCCCAACAGATCCACAGATGATGCAATCTCTATCGCACTCCACACTGCCCTTTCCCACCTGGACAAGAGGAACACCTACGTGAGAATGCTATTCATTGACTACAGCTCAGCATTCAACACCATAGTGCCCTCTAAGCTCATCACTAAGCTAAGGATCCTGGGACTAAACACCTCCCTCTGCAACTGGATCCTGGACTTCCTGACGGGCCGCCCCCAGGTGGTAAGGGTAGGTAACAACACATCTGCCACACTGATCCTCAACACGGGGGCCCCTCAGGGGTGCGTGCTCAGTCCCCTCCTGTACTCTCTGTTCACCCATGACTGCATGGCCAGGCACGACTCCAACACCATCATTAAGTTTGCCGACGACACAACAGTGGTAGGCCTGATCACCGACAACGATGAGACAGAGATCTGGCCGTGTGGTGCCAGGACAACAACCTCTCCCTCAACGTGACCAAGACAAAGGAGATGATTGTGGACTACAGGAAAAAAAAGAGGACTGAGCACGCCCCCATTCTCATCGACGGGGCTGTAGTGGAACAGGTTGAGAGCTTCAAGTTCCTTGGTGTCCACATCACCAACGAACTATCATGGTCCAAACACACCAAGACAGTCGTGAAGAGGGCACGACAAAGCCTATTCCCCCTCAGGAGACTAAAAAGATTTGGCATGGGTCCTCAGATCCTCAAAAAATTCTACAGCTGCACCATCGAGAGCATCCTGACCTGTTGCATCACCGCCTGGTATGGCAACTGCTTGGCCTCTGACCGCAAGGCACTACAGAGGGTAGTGCGTACGGCCCAGTACATCACTGGGGCAAAGCTCCCTGCCATCCAGGACCTCTATACCAGGCGGTGTCAGAGGAAGGCCCTCAAAATTGTCAAAGACTCCAGCCACCCTAGTCATAGACTGTTCTCTCTGCTACCGCACGGCAAGCGGTACCGGAGTGCCAAGTCTAGGTCCAAAAGACTTCTCAACAGCTTCTACCCCCAAGCCATAAGACTCCTGAACAGCTAATCATGGCTACCCGGACTATTTGCACTGCCCCCCCACCCCATCCTTTTTACGCTGCTGCTACTCTGTTAAGTATTTATGCATAGTCACTTTAACTCTACCCACATGTACATATTACCTCAACTACCTCAACTAGCCGGTGCCCCCGCACATTGACTCTGCAACGGTACCCCCCTGTATATATAGCCTCCCTACTGTCACTTTATTTTACTGTATATATAGCCTCCCTACTGTCACTATTTTACTTCTGCTCTTTTTTTCTCAACACTTTTTGTTGTTGTTGTTTTATTCTTACTTTTTTTGTTTAAAATAAATGCACTGTTGGTTAAGGGCTGTAAGTAAGCATTTCACTGTAATGTCTGCACCTGTTGTATTCGGCGCATGTGACCAATAAAATTTGATTTGATTTTATTTTATTTGAGATATACTAACTTACCATGCATGTGGTACAGAATTACTTTCAAATATGCCTTCGTGTAGCATGACGAATAACCATGATGCATGTGGTGTAGTTGTCTGGGAACCACATTTATTATTTCTCCATAGAGGTAAAAAATACAGCATATTTTTCAATGAGGACACACCAGACAAAATAACGTTCACCTTTTAATAAAAGTTTCCTTGACATGTTAAAAATACTCATTAGAAGAAACATGACCACTGAATAATATGAACAAAGAACTATAAACTCAGAATCCAGATAATAACTTTGAGAACTAAATGAAAACAGTGAAACGTCAGGTCACAATGGTAAGAGCAAACAATTGGGACATAATACGGTTGTACTGAGGAGACGTTATAGATAGCCGTACTGATAAAACCCAGTAAGTACCTCAGTCTTGAGGGCTTTGGAGAACCAAACACCCTCAATAGTCTGGCTGGTAAATCTGACGACTACACTGTCAGAATAGGGTAGGGTGGGAGAGAGGAGGGTAGGTGGGAGAGAGGAGGGTAGGTGGGAGAGAGGAGGCTAGGGTGGGAGAGAGGAGGCTAGGGTGGGAGAGAGGAGGGTAGGGTGGGAGAGAAGAGGCTAGGGTGGGAGAGAGGAGGGTAGGGTGGGAGAGAGGAGGGTAGGGTGGGAGAGGAGCAAGTAGGTTGAAAGCCGCTAGGCAACACTGATTTGTTTTATCAACACTGGGATAATGGGTGAAACTTAATGCTTTAACATGCTTTAAACGGCTAGACCAGAGTGATGGCAGCTAACATCAAATCTGAGATTCAATGGGACTGGATTTGCATCTGACTGTGACTGGTGGTAATAAAGGGGTTATGGGTCAGGACGTTATCCGATTATTGGTTTATGATTCATGTAATTTCTCTCCACCTGATCACAGATCAATATAGAGAATACATATGAATCTTCCCTGCTCCATGGTTTAGTTCACCATCAGACCCTCTTCTGAAATCACAGAATCGCCTGTCATCTACATCACAGGAACTTTGATCAGAGACGCTTTGTGCCATACTCAGACTGGCGTGTGTGTGTGTGTGTCTGTATGTTTATGTGTATATGTGTGTGCAGAATCTGATAGCCACCTACAGATTGACAATAGTTCAGTTCTACAGTCAATCAGGACTGGCTGGCTTAACCTACAGTAGCTTAACATAACTTGTATATAACATACATTGTTGATATATAAAAGGACTAAATAAAAATACACGTCCATTATGAGAACATGCTAATGCTAACTAAAAAGGTACAGAAAGAGAAACAGAAAAAAACATATACTGCAGTTTTATAAAAACAAACTCAGGGACCAAATGGCAAAAGCACCAGTTCAGGCAGCAGCTGCCTCTCCTCCATCTGCAGATCTAACAGAAGACAGAGTAGACTGTGTAGAGCGGGGCGGGCGGGCCTTGTGGAGGGGGTTATGGGTAAAGGGCGTCTGTAGAGGAGCTACAGAGCTACAGTACGTTGGGAAGGCCGGACAGACCAGAGTTCTGAGAGTCAGATGGGGCAGTGCTGTCTGAGTCAGGCACCAGGTGGAGAGACATACTGTCTGTCTGTCTGTCTGTCTGTCTGTCTGTCTCCTCTCTAGTCCCCCTTGGTCAGCAGGTCTTCTATGTAGGCATCCAGTTCATCATCTGTGTTTATGTCAATGTCCTGCAGAAGGGAAGGAGAGACATTAGTATTCAGTGTGTGTGTGTTACCTCGTATCTTTTCTGTAGCAAAGCTTCGATGTTGGTGTGTGTGTGTGTGTCTTACCTCCTGTACTTTCTGCAGCAGTTGTACGATGTTGGTTCGTAGTTTCTGTAGCTTTTCATCTGCCTCCCTGAGTTTGGTCTCAGCGCTGCTACTCTTTTCCTCCACAGCTTTGGCTCTGGCATCAGCTCTGCTCTGGTACGAGTTACACAAAGACTGGAGACCCAGCTCATACTGCTGGAAATACTCTTTCTGCAGAAACACATGCACACAGGTCAGACACATTCACAGACTTTGCTCTGGTATGAATTACAATGATACGAGTGTCTCCTATGACTGCAGCAGGCTCGGCTCCAGGGTAGGTCTCTAGAAGACATGGGTTAGAGGTCAGGAGTTAAAGGTCAGTCTCACCATAGGGAAGGCCACTAGCTCCTCTGCAGTCATGCTGTTGACATCGTCCTTCGGGATCCGGAAATCAGGAGGGAAGAAATAACGCAGCACCGTCCTGAAGAGAACACACACAAACACAATTATAGCTATGACATCCCCTCAACATTCTCCATCTGAAAAAAGAGAATTGGAGGCCAAAAACCAACAGTTATGACTCAATGACAGAGCATCGGGTAGTCATGGTTACCTCATCATGGTGACCAGGTTGTCAGTCACTTCTCGACTGGTTCCTGGTTGGGTGGTGTCGGGTTCCATGGGGGGGCCTTTCTCAGTCCCCTCCCCCTGCTGTGTGTCAGGGGTCTGGGAGAGGGGAGAGGGGGGTCGCATCAACCTCACCTCCTCACTGCCTTTGAAAACCCTAATAACAACAACAATAAATTATACCAACAACCTCACCGCCTTTAGCCATCATAATAACACCCCAAAACTCCTGAGAACACTAACTCATCAAATCAATACACAATTAAATAAACATTTGGAAATGACACAGAAACGGGCACATCATTGGCTACTGGTATAGCACACACATAAACGTAAGAGAACAGAGCACAGACACGGTGACTTGGTGAGCCTACCATCGATCCTTGGGGGTGGATCTGGGGACATAGTCAAACTTCACCTTCCAGCGAACGCTCTGCTTACTGGTATCCACAGCAACCACTTTGCCTGTGAACCATTCCTTATTCACACGCACCTCCACCAACAGACCCTTATCTACAGGAGGCAACACACAGGAGTATTATGAAGCAGTCCTGAAACCGCTTTCTATGGCATAGTGCCTCATGGAGCTACAGTGGGGAAAAAAAGTATTTAGTCAGCCACCAATTGTGCAAGTTCTCCCACTTAAAAAGATGAGAGAGGCCTGTAATTTTCATCATAGGTACACGTCAACTATGACAGACAAAATGAGAAGAAAAAAATCCAGAAAATCACATTGTAGGATTTTTAATGAATTTATTTGCAAATTATGGTGAAAAATAAGTATTTGGTCAATAACAAAAGTTTCTCAATACTTTGTTATATACCCTTTGTTGGCAATGACACAGGTCAAACGTTTTCATGTCTTCACAAGGTTTTCACACACTGTTGCTGGTATTTTGGCCCATTCCTCCATGCAGATCTCCTCTAGAGCAGTGATGTTTTGGGGCTGTCGCTGGGCAACACGGACTTTCAACTCCCTCCAAAGATTTTCTATGGGGTTGAGATCTGGAGACTGGCTAGGCCACTCCAAGACCTTGAAATGCTTCTTACGAAGCCACTCCTTCGTTGCCTGGGCGGTGTGTTTGGGATCATTGTCATGCTGAAAGACCCAGCCACGTTTCATCTTCAATGCCCTTGCTGATGGAAGGAGGTTTTCACTCAAAATCTCACGATACATGGCCCCATTCATTCTTTCCTTTACACGGATCAGTTGTCCTGGTCCCTTTGCAGAAAAACAGCCTCAAAGCATGATGTTTCCACCCCCATGCTTCACAGTAGGTATGGTGTTCTTTGGATGCAACTCCGCATTCTTTGTCCTCCAAACACGACGAGTTGAGTTTTTACCAAAAAGTTATATTTTGGTTTCATCTGACCATATGACATTCTCCCAATCCTCTTCTGGATCATCCAAATGCACTCTAGCAAACTTCAGACGGGCCTGGACATGTACTGGCTTAAGCAGGGGGACACGTCTGGCACTGCAGGATTTGAGTCCCTGGCGGCGTAGTGTGTTACTGATGGTAGGCTTTGTTACTTTGGTCCCATCTCTCTGCAGGTCATTCACTAGGTCCCCCCGTGTGGTTATGGGATTTTTGCTCACCGTTCTTGTGATCATTTTGACCCCACGGGGTGAGATCTTGCGTGGAGCCCCAGATCGAGGGAGATTATCAGTGGTCTTGTATGTCTTCCATTTCCTAATAATTGCTCCCACAGTTGATTTCTTCAAACCAAGCTGCTTACCTATTGCAGATTCAGTCTTCCCAGCCTGGTGCAGGTCTACAATTTTGTTTCTGGTGTCCTTTGACAGTTCTTTGGTCTTGGCCATAGTGGAGTTTGGAGTGTGACTGTTTGAGGTTGTGGACAGGTGTCTTTTATACTGATAACAAGTTCAAACAGGTGCCATTAATACAGGTAACGAGTGGAGGACAGAGGAGCCTCTTAAAGAAGAAGTTACAGGTCTGTGAGAGTCAGAAATCTTGCTTGTTTGTAGGTGACCAAATACTTATTTTCCACCATAATTTGCAAATAAATTCATAAAAAATCCTACAATATGATTTTCTGGAATTTCTTTTGTCAATTTGTCTGTCATAGTTGACGTGTACCTATGATGAAAATTACAGGCCTCTCTCATCTTTTTAAGTGGGAGAACTTGCACAATTGGTGGCTGACTAAATACTTTTTTTCCCCACTGTAAATTATGTGTGTCATTATTGTTAAATTCAGGCTTGGCTGAACTGCTTTCAATGGGGAAAGATTGCTTCTGTGATATTAGGTGAAACTGTCACTTTCCTGTGTGGACCTATTGCTAATCGGAAATCTTGTTGGCCAATCAGAATGTATGGCTGGAACTATCATCAAGAATGGAATAAATCACCTTTCTGAGCATTCTTCAGTTCATTTTCTGGGTCCTCGTTCTCTGTGCTGTCTGTCACCTAAAAACACACACACAGAAAACACAATGTTCAAACTGTCTAACAGTAAGTGTGTGAAAGGAAATACCAGGAAGAGTGGTGTGTTATTGTACTGTGAGAAAAAAAGGAGCAGGGGAGCAGCATACAACCAACTCCATTTACAGTAGAGTTAGGAGACAGACAGGACCAACTCCATTTACAGTAGAATTAGGAGACAGACAGGACCAACTCCATTTACAGTAGAATTAGGAGACAGACAGGACCAACTCCATTTACAGTAGAGTTAGGAGACAGACAGGACCAACTCCATTTACAGTAGAATTAGGAGACAGACAGGACCATCTCTATTTACAGTAGAGTTAGGAGACAGACAGGACCAACTCCATTTACAGTAGAGTTAGGAGACAAGGATAGGATCCATTCTATTAAGAGTAGAGTTAAGAGATAGACAGGACCCATTCCATTTAGGGTACAATTATGAGAGGGTAGTATCCATTCTATTATGATTAGAGTGAAGAGAGAAGGATAGGGACGATTCCATTATGAGTAGAGAAGGCAAGTGTAGCCTCTTTCTCCGTGGCTGATGGGTACCTTGGCGCTAGGGGGGGTTGGGATGGGTTTGGCCGGGGGTGGTGTTGCGGGGGGCAGCAGTGTTGCTATGATAGCGCTCCTCTTCTCAGGCGGCGGGGGTTTGGTGATGGGTGGGGGGGTATGGACCTGCGGGGTCGATGACATCACATGACCTCTGGGTCAACAGTACAGTGGCCTGACTTCTGGACCACTCCATGTGTCAGACTTGTTCTTCATACAGCACCTCTCCTCTTTCAAAATAACCCTAGTCTTTTTCTTCCTCCAAAAGAGCTTTCCCCTACTCCGTCCCCAACATCTCTCCGTCCCCATCATCTCTCCGTCCCCAACATCTCTCCGTCCCCAACATCTCTCCGTCCCCAACATCTCTCCGTCCCCAACATCTCTCCGTCCCAAACATCTCTCCGTCCCAAACATCTCTCCGTCCCAAACATCTCTCCGTACCCAACACCTCTCCGTCCTGACTCATCTTAAGGGGACATTTTTCTGCCTGTCCTCTTCCTCTAAACATCACCTTTTCCCTTTATTTGTCCTTGACTGCATTTATCCGTTCCCTCTCGTCTAACAAATTCAGTACTTCCCTCTGTCTGTCTAATATGTTGTATAGAAATATTCTATAGATTGACAGTGTGATAGTCTGAGCAGTGAAAGTGTGTGTGTGTGTGAGAGAGATTGAGTGAGAAAGACTGTACCTCTGTCACTTTTCCCCGTTTGAGTGGAGCTTTCTTAACAGCTTTCCCACGATTCCCCACTGCAGCTGCCATCTTGGATTTCTTGGGCTGAGGCTCCTCCTCCCCACGGTCATCCTCGCTGTCGTCCTCGTCTTCCTCCTCTTTTTCCTCCTCCTCCTCCTCCTCCTCCTCCTCCTCCTCTTCACTCTCCTCCTGCTCTATCACTCTCTTGCGCTGGCTGCTAGCAGGTGTGGTTGCTTTGGCAGGAGACAATTTGGCTGGAGTCTGTAGAAACACCACAGATATTACTGCTACTGCTAAGGGACCATAGATATTAACAGTTGATAGACTATTGCATTTACATTTTAGTCATTTAGCAGACGCTCTTATCCAGAGCGACTTACAGTTAGTGAGTGCATACATTTTAAAATATCTGCTTCAACCATTAACATATACCATAAGATTTGATAAAGGACAGCTTAAAACACAACACACTAACCCGTGAGCTACGGCTTGGAGGGGTGGGTTTGGCGGGGACTTTGGCTGGAGCTTTGGGGGCGGGCTTTGCTGGAGGGGGTGACTGCTTCGCTGCAGCTCTAGATTGGTCGACTCTGGGGGCCGGGGGAGGGGCAGCAGGCCGGGTGGTCGGTCGAGGGGAATTGGTGGGTTTGCGGTTGAGGGCGGGGGGCTGGCTGGGGGCGTTCTTGAGGAGGGCAGGGAGAGGGGGGGAGCGAGGGCGTGACACACGGTCTGACGACCTGGTTCCCTAGGAGACAGAGAGAACAGGAGACACATTATATTCAGATATCAGGGAGACACTGTGTGTGTAACCGGTAAAGCAGGGTTCCCCAACTGGCAGCCAGAAGGCCGAATTTGGCCCACGGGTGATTTTATTTGGCCCCTGAGTTAAGAACATTGTTGGACAGAAGACTGTAAAAACACAAGAAAATCAGCTCCAAGTGATTTTGCTTTTAAGTATTCTCATGCATAATAGAGAAATACACTACATGGCCAAAAGTATGTGGGCACCCCTTCAAATTAGTGGATTCAGCTATTTCAGCCACACCCGTTGCTGACACGTGTATAAAATCAGGCACACATCCATGCAATCTCCATAGACAAACATTGGCAGTAGAATGGTCCGTACTAAAGAGCTCAGTGACTTTCAACGTAGCACCGTCATAGGATGCCACCTTTCAAGAAGTCAGTTCGTCAAATTTCTGCCCTGCTAAACTGCCCCGGTCAACTGTAAGTGCTGTTATTGTGAAGTGGAAACGTCTAGGAGCAACAATGGCTCAGCCGCCAAGTGTTAGGCCACACTAGCTCACAGAATGGGACCGCCGAGCGCTGAGGCGCGTAGGACGTAAAAATCGTTTGTCCTCGGTTGCAACACTCACTACCAAGTATGTCTGTATGACTGTAGTGTGTGTGTGTTTCCCTGTAGAGGGGGAGTATGTGTGACTGTGTGTGTGTGTGTTTACCTGTAAAGGGTGAGTATGTGTGACTGTGTGTGGGTACCTGGGAGGAACTCTCATTCATGGGTCTCATGCTGACGTCCAGAGGTAACTTCTTCACATCTGCAGCGGATCTGATGGTGCTGGTTTTCTGCAGAGCCTCTAGTTTCTCCTGCTGCTGTCTGATCTTCTCTGTCAGTTCTTTCTGTTTGTCCTCGGCCGTCTGCCTGTCCTTCTTCAGAACTCCACATGGAAGGTTCTGTTTTTGCTCCGCCGCGTCACACCTACAACACACAAACAAGATATTGGTGATATATTTGGTGTCCCTGCAGGTGTGTGTGTGTGTCAGTGTGTGTGTCGGTGTGTGTGTACCTGTCCTGAGTGCTGTCAGGGTTCATCAGACACACCCAGCTGTCTGGGTAACGTTTATCCACCGCATCCATCTGGAATGGCAGAGTCCTCCACTTCAGACACTTATCTACAGATAGCGAGGGAGAGAGACAAGCTTGTTTGTTTGGGTTTGTTCGTGTGTGTGTGTGTGTGACTCAACACATTTACATTTTACATTTAAGTCATTTTAGCAGACGCTCTTATCCAGAGCGACTTACAGTTAGTGAGTGCATACATTTTCATACTGAGATTTTATTTATTTCTACCTTTGTGTACCTATTTAGGATACATCACCATGAATAGAATGACATTCATATCCATAATTATGTATTTCTGTATAGTACAGATCAGGGACGTGGAATTTCCCTATTTTGTCCAGAAAATGTAATGCACACGTATGTTCATGTGAGTCTCTCTTGCACAAACTTGCACGTTAAGAGTGAGCAGTATCTCTGTGTATGTGTGAGTGTAAAACTCACCACACTGTATCGTGAGGGGTATCTCCATGGCGCGGCGTCTCTTGTACCTCTGCTCTGGCGAGGGGAGCGAGGACCAGCTGGCAGACAGGTACCCAAACTCATCCCAGAACTTCACTATGCCCTTCTGAGCTAAAGCACATACACACACAGGTTAGAACTTCACTATGCCCTTCTGAGCTAAAAGAGGGAAAAGCAGAAACATGCCAGTCATATGAACTAGGGATATCGCAGAAACGATACAACCGCATAACTGGGTTTTTCTATAAACTAGGGTACCAGTGAGCATTTCAGCTTCTGTTTGGAGCTGTTACAAAGTCATTAATAATAATTTGCAATTTTTTCCCCCATGTGAATACATTTAGATATAAAGGGGGAACACAGATACATTCAATATAATTCATGAGTTGAATCAAAACGTCTGTTTAAACCCTTCCTCATAATTGGAGTCTCCACAGATTTGGAAAAAATCGTGTGACATAAAACACTAACTTTCTTTCCTTACATTTATGATACTGTTGTTTGTTGTTACAAAATATCCTAAGCATTTAACAATTGAATTACACATTGACCTTTATCCTGTGAAATTCCTGGATATTACTGTCGGACTCTTTTTTTGTATGGAGATCTCGGAAGTGTACTGTAAGCTCGTAACATTTCGTATCTCCCTATGTTACGGTGTGAAAACAGTTTTCATGGGCACACATACCCAAAATAATGTATGTGATTGCAAAATCCAATGCTTCAAACAGAAATAGTAACTTTAATGATTAATAAAACAAAAATCGACACGGTCATTAGCAAACGCCATGCTCTACCAACAGAGCTACATCCCTGCCGGCCATTCCCTCCCCTACTCTGGACGACGCTGGGCCAATTGTGCGCCGCCCCATGGGTCTCCCGGTCGCGGCCGGCTACGACAGAGCCTGGATTCGAACCAGGATCTCTAGCGGCACAGCTAGCACTGCGATGAAGTGCCTTTGACCACTGCGCCACTCGGGAATAAAGTTCTCTGCTGCCAATGACTGGAACGAACTGCAAAAATCTCTGAAGCTGGAGACTCGTATCTCCCTCACTAACTTTAAGCATCAGTTGTCAGAGCAGCTTACCGATCACTGCATCTGTACACAGCCATTCTGAAATTAGCCCACCCAACTACCTCATCCCCATATTGTTATTTATTTTCCTAATTTGCACCCCAGTATCCCATTTGCACATCATCTTTTGCACATCTATCATTCCAGTGTTAATACGAAATTGTAACTATTTTGCACTATGGCCTATTTATTGCCTAACCTCCATAACTTACTACATTCACACACACACTGTATATATATTTTCTGTTGTATTTTTGACTTTATGTTTTGTTTACCCCATATGTAACCGTGTTGTTGTTTTTATCGCACTGCTTTGCTCTATCTTGGCCAGGTCGCAGTTGTAAATGAGAACTTGTTCTCAACTGGCTTACCTGGTTAAATAAAGGTGAAAAAAAACAGGTTAGTCGAGGTAATTTGTACATGTAGCTAGGGGTAAAGTGACTATGCATACATAATAAACAGCGCGTAGCAGCAGTGTAAAAAAAAAAAAGGGGGGGGGGGGGGGGGGGGGGGGATGTGTCAATGTAAATAGTCCGGGTAGCCATTTAATTAATTGTTCAGCAGTCTTATGGCTTGGGGGTAGAAACTGTTAAGGAGCTTTTAGGACCTAGACTTGGCGCTCCGGTACCGTTTGCCATGCGGTAGTAGAGAGAACAGTCTATGACTTGGGTGACTGGAGTCTGACAATTTTTTGGGCCTTCCTCTGATGCAACCGGTCAGGATGCTCTTGATGGTGCAGCTGTAGAACTTGAGGATCTGGTGACCCATGCCAAATCTTTTCAGTCTCCTGAGGGGGAAAAGGTGTTGTCGTGCCCTCTTCACGACTGTCTTGGTGTGTTTGGACCATGATAGTTTGTTGGTGATGTGGACACCAAGGAACTTGAAACTCTCGACCCGCTCCACTACAGCCCTGTCGATGTTAATGGGGGCCTGTTCGGCCCTCCTTTTCCTATAGTCCACGATCAGCTCCTTTGTCTTGCTCACATTGAGGGAGAGGTTGTTGTCCTGGAACCACACTGCCAGGTCTCTGACCTCCTCCCTATAGGCTGTCTCATCGTTGTTGGTGATCAGGTCTACCACTGTTGTGTCGTCAGCAAACTTAATGATGGTGTTGGAGTCGTGCTTGGCCACGCAGTCGTGGGTGAACAGGCAGTACAGGAGGGGACTAAGCACGCACCCCTGAGGGGCCCCAGTGTTGAGGATCAGCATGGCAGATGTGTTGTTGCCTACCCTTACCACCTGGGGGCGGCCCGTCAGGAAGTCCAGGATCCAGTTGCAGAGGGAGGTGTTTAGTCCCAGGGTCTTTAGCTTAGTGATGAGCTTTGTGGGCACTATGGTGTTGAACGCTGAGCTGTAGCCAATGAACAGCATTCTCACATGGGTGTTCCTTTTGTCCAGGTGGGAAAGGGCAGTGTGGAGTGCGATTGAAATTGTGTAATCTGTGGATCTGTTGGGGCGGTATGCAAATTGGAGTGGGTCTAGGGTTTCCGGCATGATGGTGTTGATGTGAGCCATGACCAGCCTTTCAAAGCACTTCTTGGGTACTGACGTGAGTGCTACGGGGCGGTAATCATTAAGGCAGGTTACCTTCCTTTTCTTGGGCACAGGGACTATGGTGGTCTTTTTGAAACATGTAGGTATTAGACTGTCAGGGAGAGCTTGAAAATGTCAGTGAAGACACTTGCCAGTTGGTCCGCGCATGCTCTGAGTACACGTCCTGGTAATCCATCTGGCCCCTTGGCTTTGTGAATGTTGACCTGTTTAAAGGTCTTGCTGACATCGGCTACGGAGAACATGATCATGCATGCTGGTGCGCTCATGCATGCTTCAGTGTTGCTTGCCTCGAGCGAGCATAAAAAGGCATTTAGCTCGTCTGGTAGTCTCGCGTCACTGGGCAGCTCGCGGCTGGGTTTCCCTTTGTAGTCTGTAACAGTTTGCAAGCCCTGCCACAGCCGACGAGCATCAGAGCCGGCGTAGTAGGATTCAATCTTAGTACTGTATTGACGCTTTGCCTGTTTGATGGTTCATCTGAGGGCATAGCTGGATTTCTCATAAGTGTCTGGATTAGTGTCCCGCTCCTTGAAAGCGGCAGCTCTAGCCTTTAGCCCGATGCAGATGTTACCTGTAATCCATGGCTTCTGGTTGGGATATGTACATACGGTCACTGTGGGGACGACGTCGTCGATGCACTTATTGATGAAACCGATGAATTAGGTGGTATACTCCTCAATGCCATTGGATGAATCCCGGAACATATTCCAGTCTGTGCTAGCAAAACAGTCCTGCAGCGTAGCATCCACGTCATATGACCACTTCCGTATTGAGCAAGTCACTGGTACTTCCTGCTTTAGTTTTTGCTTGTAAGCAGGAATCAGGAGGATATAATTATGGTCAGATTTGCCAAATGGAGGGCGAGGGAGAGCTTTGTATGTGTCTCTGTGTGTGGAGTAAAGGAGGTCTAGTCTTTTTTCCTCTGGTTGCACGTGACATGCTGGTAGAAATGAGGTAAAACGGATTTAAGATTCTCTGCATTAAAGTCCCCGGCCACTAGGAGCGCCGCTTCTGGATGAGCATTTTCTTGTTTGCTTATGGCCTTATACAGCTCGTTGAGTGCATCGGTTTGTCGTGGTAAATAGACGGCTACGAATAATATGGGATGTAGCTCAGTTGGTAGAGCATGGTGTTTGCAACGCCAGGGTTGTGGGTTCGATTCCCACGGGGGGCTAGTATGAAAAATGGAAAAAAATATAATGTATGCACTCACTAACTGTAAGTCGCTCTGGATAAGAGCGTCTGCTAAATGACTAAAATGTAAATGTAATATAGATGAGAACTATTTTACTATATGAAGTTGTCTGCTTTTTGTGCTTTGGATTTAGTTTGCATAGGCCTATGTAACAAGGAATTTCAATGTTACAGTGGGGGAAAAAAGTATTTAGTCAGCCACCAATTGTGCAAGTTCTCCCACTTAAAAAGATGAGAGAGGCCTGTAATTTTCATCATAGGTACACGTCAACTATGACAGACAAATTGAGGAAAAAAAATCCAGAAAATCACATTGTAGGATTTTTAATGAATTTATTTGCAAATTATGGTGGAAAATAAGTATTTGGTCACCTACAAACAAGCAAGATTTCTGGCTCTCACAGACCTGTAACTTCTTCTTTAAGAGGCTCCTCTGTCCTCCACTCATTACCTGTATTAATGGCACCTGTTTGAACTTGTTATCAGTATGAAAGACACCTGTCCACAACCTCAAACAGTCACACTCCAAACTGCACTATGGCCAAGACCAAAGAGCTGTCAAAGGACACCAGAAACAAAATTGTAGACCTGCACCAGGCTGGGAAGACTGAATCTGCAATAGGTAAGCAGCTTGGTTTGAAGAAATCAACTGTGGGAGCAATTATTAGGAAATGGAAGACATACAAGACCACTGATAATCTCCCTCAATCTGGGGCTCCACGCAAGATCTCACCCTGTGGGGTCAAAATGATCACAAGAACGGTGAGCAAAAATCCCAGAACCACACGGGGGGACCTAGTGAATGACCTGCAGAGAGCTGGGACCAAAGTAACAAAGCCTACCATCAGTAACACACTACGCCGCCAGGGACTCAAATCCTGCAGTGCAAGACGTGTCCCCCTGCTTAAGCCAGTACATGTCCAGGCCCGTCTGACGTTTGCTAGAGCGCATTTGGATGATCCAGAAGAGGATTGGGAGAATGTCATATGGTCAGATGAAACCAAAATATAACTTTTTGGTAAAAACTCAACTCGTCGTGTTTGGAGGACAAAGAATGCTGAGTTGCATCCAAAGAACACCATACCTACTGTGAAGCATGGGGGTGGAAACATCATGCTTTGGGGCTGTTTTTCTGCAAAGGGACCAGGACGACTGATCCGTGTAAAGGAAAGAATGAATGGGGCCATGTATCGTGAGATTTTGAGTGAAAACCTCCTTCCATCAGCAAGGGCATTGAAGATGAAATGTGGCTGGGTCTTTCTGCATGACAATGATCCCAAACACACCG